CGATTCTCCCTGGCGAATGGACCATACGTTTTCAAATCGGGTCGCATTCTAAAATATAATTCACAGAGATATAGTCTTCCGACCTTTATATATTTTAGCGCTGCTTTTCTTAATTCGGCCTTTTTCAAATTTAAAATGTAGCGGGCTTTTGAAAGTACTGACTTCATGATTTAACCGGGGACAGAAAGTTGCATAAGTATTCCTATGGCTACCAAACATTTTCGATCCGCCTGTCCACCGGTTGGAATAATCATTGTATTCCGTCGCGGTCGGCGTCACCAAGCAGCATCGGATACGCTCGCGACCTATCCCGTAATCTTCCACTGACTTTGCATAGAATGAGCTGTTACAGTGATATGGTGGATGTGCACTGAAACGCTAATCACTATGCGCTAACATTTAATTTTAATGTCCTCGCTAAGGAGGGCGCGCGGTATCCAAAAACGATCAGCGTAAATATACCCGTCATTTCGAAAAATTCAGCAATAACGGGTTTTGATCAGCGGTGCGCAGGTAAGTACATTCCTAACCGCATCTTAAATTGCAGCCATGCGCTCCACTGAACCTTATTCTGTATTCTAAACAGGATTTCCCCAACCGTCTTAAACCAACGAAATTTAATGATTGATACCGTCACAAATTAATTGAGCAATTCCTTCCTCTCGAGAAACATAATTCAGAGTGTTCCCTAATGTGCAATCACTCAAAGCTCTACTGGTAGATTTTTCGGTTTCCTCACAATGGTTAAATGAATTCCATAGCCAGTTTGTTAAGCACATGGTGTCTACATAACAAAAATACAATAACTCTGATGAACCTTGATGATAATTTCAAACCGATCCCATGAAATAAACAACCTCAATTCCTATATCTTATCCTGAAACTCCTCTCCTGCTTTACAATATCTCAATAAGCAAAATATGAGTATACAGCTATTATATTCGCTGCTGAACTTTGAGACATACTATACAATTTGGTTTACTATAAATTCCAGCAAAACCAAGTTTTAGGCAAGCTTCGTTTATTGCAGATATAGCTGCCAATTTCTCCCCAAAATATAGCGAGCCTAAAAACATGACTGCAATTAGGGTTGGATTATCCGGATAGCGGTTAACCGGATAACCGATTAACCAAGAGGTATTTTGCTATCTGATAACCGGATATTATTGTAACGGTTAACCGGATAATAGAGCAGTATAAATAATGCATATGCACATTAGTGATTTTTTTTATATTTTTTGTTGATTGGCCAATGACATCTCTCAGAGCATATAATATTCACTTATATCCACACCACTCTGCATATTTTAGTCATCCGTGTAATGCTGGAGTGAACTTGACTATAGTATTACATCACAAAACACGCAGAAAAATGTGATTATTGCGTATTTGCAGTATAGAAGAGCCCGACTTACTTTAAAATAAAAGCATTTCTACTCTAGATATGCTAGATATGAAAATAAATGGTAAGCTGCACGAACAAATCCAATTTCCCATTTTTGCTATCTTGAAAATTCATCAAATTTGAGCTATTATTGCAATTCCAATGAGTATAATTTATTTAGTACAATAAATGCAGATATTAATTAGCTTATAGTTATATATCAACATTTTCGGGAGAAAAGTCGGGTTCAGTTTCGTCGGTATATAACGCCGATAATTGTTTTATTTCGCCCGGAACTGAAATGGCCGCAGTATGTTATCTATCGTCGTATCTATCTATCGTTAAGAGAGTAGATCTGAAACACACATTTTTGACTGACAATAAGGAATTGAATGCTAACGAAAATACCACGACTCTTGATTTATGAGCCAGTGATAGATAAAACAAGACTCTATTTTAGGCGCTGTTGAATCGTAATAATCGTATTTACTGAATTTACAACAAGGGTAACTTTTCACGGGATGTAACTTCTTTTCAAATCAAAACTGGCATAATGCCGATGTTAATTCCCCAAATAATAACGCGATGCGGAAGAAAACGATCGGCGATGATAATACAATAAGCCTGTAAAATTCGACCGCCTTTATTAGTGACGTTTTCGAAAATTTCAAAATGAGGAGGAAAGGCTGTTATTACATTTATGGTTTTCATGGAACTTTCACAAACAAATTTGTTTGCAAAATGGTCTATAATATTTCAGAAAAGTTTAATGTGACAGACTCTGTATCGTGTCATGTTTTTCGTTTACTCATTTAGGGTGGTAAGTAAAGTTGTTCAAAAACTGGCGCAGCATTGTTTTGGCTCTGTTAATTTAGTTTAAAAGGTATTCGAATGGAAATAGATTTAAAGTTGTGGCCTAATTAGTACAAACGTGAGAATATTTACAGTGACATGTTAAATAAGTGAAGTTTTCAAATTAGAAGAAATTTCTGACCACTTCGGTTTTTTCATAATCATCAATTTGCTTTGTTATTAAAATTTTTGTTCAAATGACTTATATTTACCTATACACTTCACGGAATTTGTTTCCCCTATATTCTATTTTTTGGATACTTCTCTCACCGAAATAAAATGTTCGAAATGCACGATTTTTTGTGTTCATGATTTCATTTATATGTATGCTCTTGTGGTATATATTAACAAAGTTTATTTCGTCGTGCAAGAAATCACCAAATATTATAGAGAACAAAATACTATACATGACAATATTAAATTTCATTGCAATTGATAGGAAGGTGCGGATGATCAGAAATGATCATTGTGAGTCTGCGACACTAAAATTTAGTACGAGTCGAAATTTAAAGAAAAGAGGCTCTAGACACAAAAAGAAACTTTTAAAAAACTTTACAATAAAGTAGAAATAATATAAATCTTTACATATTATTTGAATAGGGAAAATAACTTAGCAGTTGGGGGAAAAAAAATTAGGACACAATATTTTCAAAAAATGTTTCATTTTATTATTCCGCTGTACATCGGTACGACTACTGAGCTTAAATTATTATTTATTGACACATGCAATATTAAAATGCACAATAATTCATATTCAAGAAAAATAATACATATGTGAGTATTTACAACAGAACTGTGTGGTGTTATTCGTTCAATTCACCGCGAAAATCCTGCGAAATCGATTCTCTAAAATCAGCAGTAACTATCCGGTTAACCGTATATTTAAAATACGGAATACCCGGATATATCCGTTATCCGGATAGTGAAAATTATAGGTATCCGAACTAACCTTAACTGCAATCAAGAGCACTGAGCAGCAAGCTGAACTAATTACTACCGATACCACTGTACAAGGCTAGCACAATAGGGCTAAAGTAACCAATTGTGACGTGATAAAACTCAGTTCTTGGATGTTGTTTTCGATATGGCAGATTGCTTCTAGGTGTGCCGGCCTCGTGCTGACTTTGAAGTCGAGAAGAAACAAAATGTGCATATTTCGAACCATGTGTGATCCACTTTCTAAATTTTTCGATTATTCTCAAAACTATAGCCCTAGTTACTATGCCATTATTTCGTGCCGCGTCATTATTCTAGTTGATTTACTGTACATGATTTTTTCTATCAGTGCACGTCGTCCAAAACTTTTCATTGTCAACACGTTAATGGCTACTTGGTCAGGTCACCTTCGAAGTTCCCCAAAATATTCTCCACAACAGAAGCACATTTCGAGTAATCCAACTGAAGAGGGGAATACCCCGTCCGCCTGGTGGTCTGATGGCTATTTAGTACAATCTCTAACAATTATCTCTCTCTAATAAAACATGTTAGTTATATAATCCGACAAAACTATACGGTACGCGCCGACAATAACATTAGGTCCGTAACTAAAACTCCCGAAGTTTTCAATTAGATATTAGAACCGTGGGTGTCTCTGCTCGACTTGCTTCGGTTACTACAGCTCCCCTTCGCGAGTAAAATCGTCGATATTTGTATATGATTGATTTTTACTGATTGGAAAAATAAACTTGACTTAACTAGACAAAAATTCAATACCATTGTTAAATACCACATGGTGGTGCAACAATCTGGAATTTGTATTTTGATGATGTGCGTTCCGAACCGAACCGGTCTGATTGCGTAATCGATTGCGCAATCGTGGTAATGGCGGGCTTCCTTATTTTTATCCATGAGTTCTCCTTTTTTGATTAGGCCAGTGATATGATGTTCAGAAATGGCACAGTGTCTATAAATAACCATGCAATAAACCTTTCCCTTCCCTAATATAATCTTCCGTGCGAGAAATTGTGGATGCTATGCACAGGTTTATTTTCGAATTTCTGATTTTTGCCACACCGAACTGGCAGTCTTGGCTCTTATTACTGTATTATAGTGTTGATTAGCGTTTATACGGTATCACATCAGCACGTGGTAGAATGGCATGGGATTTCATATCCAGTCTGAAGGAGGATAGGATAGGCTATGAAATATACTTAAACTATGGAAGTGACTGATGGATTGTATTACAGGAATTGGGCCTTTCAATATTCTGAAACATGTGGGTTACAAAAGCCGAAAAGGCATCCACTCTGAGCTCCTGTTCTATTTTCTTGTTCAAACTAACCACACGTTTAAATTTCAACATTGGAATAGTCAACCATGTTGCTTATTACAGTATTAAATTGATGGTATTTCGTGTAGCCTATTAAACAGTAAATCATTACAGTATTAAATTGATGGTATGGCTCGGAGGTGTGGCGCATCGTGCTAACCGTTAGGGATACGCACGCCACCGCATCTCTGATTACCCTTCGTGGGATCGCAAGTTCGAATCCCATGCGGGGATGATCATGTGCGAGAGGATTGCTGGACTCTTCGCCGCCGTAGGGTGGTTCACGTAACCGCTGGTCGTTTTCGGCTTCCTCCACCATCAAGTCCATGCTTCCGAAAACAAAATACCTGGCTAACTAATCCCATACCCGACCTGGACTGTTAACCGGACGAGAGGCCGTGGTTCGCCATATGATTAGGCCGTGTTATCGGCTTTCCTCTCCCCGGGATAAATATGTAAATCCTATTCTATTTCCAACTACAGAACTAAAATATTCCTGTATTCTATTTATACATTGGAAAATATCATAATATAAAAATTTAATGGGGAATTTGGTAAAATTCTGCTAATCTAGAAGAGGTTATTGAAAATAACATTATGATCTGATGAATTTCATATCACAGTACAGCAGTATCATGGTATATTTGTAGTTGTGTTGGAAGATGGCAGGTAAAGAGGAACCAACTTCTACTTTCAACATTAATTTATTAACTGGAGATGTAACAACAGTTTCATCGAAAATTGAATTGCATAATCATCAAGAAGGAAGTTCAAGTAATCATGTTCCTTTGTCGCAACAAATGCTTCCTCCTCCGACTACCAATGTTCCCTCAAGTTCAAGAGCATTCACAGGAAAAGTGAAACCTCCTGGCAAAATAAGAACAAAAGATCTGACATTGGAAAAGAATTCAGAAGAATACATTCGCAGGAGACAAAGGAATAACGTCGCTGTTAAGAAGAGTCGAGAGAAGACTCGTGAAAAATCTGTTTACACTCTACAAAAAGTCGAGCAATTGAAGGTACGATTTTTGCTGAAGATGCTATGAATACTTTATAATTAATATTTTGGACACTTGGTGGTAAAATTCATTATTTACAACAAAACTAATAATGACTATCTGAAATTTATAAATAGCTAAGCAATGTCACACACAGTCTAATATAATAAACTTTTTCCATTAGAATCCACCAAATACTGTTTTATTCATATCAAATTTGTTTCCAATAATACAGTCAAGCTTATTTTTGTCTTGAAAAAAGTTATTGAGGTGTTTTTGGTAATTTTTATTAGTACCTTTATACAGGCCACATGGCGACCCAAAAATCAGGACCCACGAATTTCTTAAATCCTCCTACAAAAATAAATTCATTCAACTTTAAAACTTCTGTTTGTGCATTTTTGTACATATAAGTCTCAGTTGTTCTCTCTAGAAATGTTCCAAATGACCTGGGATCTGGTATTTGTGTCACCTTGTATAATGCATTATACTTTTTTGATAAACTGTCAAGCATTTTGATCACCTCTCCAGCATTTTGTGGCTTTGCATCAGCCTAGGTTTCTTTTTTATGGAACTGAATTCATTGTTTAAATACACATGAATTACCATTTCAGGAAGAAAATGAACAACTAGAATCTAAAATCTCAATTTTGACCAAGGAGCTTAGCGTTCTAAAGGATTTGTTTATGGATCACGCGAGGGGCTTCTGCACTGGAGGAAATGTCAATATTGATGCAGAGAAACTTGAATCATTGTTGGGTTGCAAAATTATTCGAAAACATAGTGATTCAGAACCTGGCACATCTAGTATGTCTTCTGCCAGTCCATCTCGTGCCATGTCAACAATGGAACCATTAATAAACGCAGCAGAAATTGAACTAATGTCTTTTGAAAAAAATAAAAACAATGATGTATCTGCTTCAAACACACACCAACAAGCAAGTGTGAATAATTCTGATGTAGATTTGCCTGGTCAATACGACAGCACAGTAAGCACAATAACTCAAATGCCTGATTTTCAAAACGAAAGTTCGTGACACAGGCTTCTCTATACTTTTAAATTTTATTTGTACTGTCTCCTTTTATTTGATATTCCTTGTCTAGTCTTATCAGTTGCTATATTATTTTGGGTTCTATCCCGCAAATTTTGGTATGAAGAACAGGTATTTAAAACCTCTCTTTCTATTTTAGAAAGATTCACTTTTTGCTTTTCAAGCTTTAAATGCTGGATCTTGTTGATTATACAAATCATGTAAAATTGCAGATGACACACCATTTTTATACTTTTTGGTGTACATTTTACCTTTTGATGATAATTCTATAAAAATATTTCAAAATAATTTAATCTTATAAAGTGGAGAAAAATTTATCAACAACATTTAGTTACTAATACTGTATAGTAATTAATAGAATAAAACATATCATGATTTTTTTAGGTTATAGTATTTAATTAAAGTGTTTTCACAGTCGTATGTGTAACAAAAATGTGAGTTGCAGTTTCAACTTTTATTTCTACTACTGTATTTGTTCATAGTTTAGTAAGTTGCCCAAGAAGTTCTAATAGTTGTATTGTGTTTTTTGTTTTATTATTTATATAGTTTCATTGCATCTGGTGCTTTTCTTCGCATTCACTCCGGGCAGGTGGGGAGTTGAAATGAATAGTCTTGTCGACAACATTGCCATAAAGTACTGCCACATTGCACTAGCTAGAGCAGGGGTTCTCAACCTTTTTTCTGTTAAGTATCAATCACAACAATGCTAGATCAGTGAAAATTTTTGCTGAGTTTCAATTGACATTCATTTTCATCTGGTAGTTACTCAGTTTTCCTTCGTTAAAAGATATTAAAAAAAACTCGACTGCCATCCAAGTACCTGTGGAAATCTTCTTGGGTTCGCGAACCCCAGGTTGAGAACCCCTGAGCTAGAGTATAGGAGCTGTTTGAACACCAGAGTTTAAGTGAAAAATTTGGCGCGCAGTTCTACCTGCATGTGTTTACTTAGGTATAGTTTTAACTTTTAGAGAGTTGTCAATTTTTTTTTGTTGCGATAGCCGATAGAGATGTAATGTAAAGTAGAGCGAAATTTACATCTGCAGACAGTATAGTAATGTGTCACATACATCTGACGTTTTCATATTTCATAATAGTAAGTGGCATGGGATGCCGTGTTACTGCTTCTGACTTCAATAGCAGCTGAGCTGACCCACAGTTACTTCCATATAGATCTGTCTTTCCACCTCATCCGTGTCTGCCTATTCATCATATCACGTTTGGCTGGTTGAACTTGCGATCTTTAGATTCTAAAACCATCACCACGCTTGCTTTTTGACATTTTATAATAAACCTTTCACAGATATTATTAAAGTCGTCTAAACTTAAAGAACACCGGCGCGGCGGTGTGGGTCATCGTGCTAAGCGTTAAAAATACGCTGGCCACCGCACCTCTGATTAATCTGCGTGGGTTCGCCGTACGGATAATCCGTCTTATCGGTTTTCCTCTCCCCAGGGGTGAATATGTAAATCCTATCCTATTAACATAAAACTTGATTTGCATAACACACCCTGTCTACTCAGAGTAGGATCATGCCTTTAATTAAGCACTCGTAATTTTAGTGCCATATATATGTATATAAAATAATAATAATGAAACTGGTGTTCTATTCTATGTTACCTGAAATTTAATAAGTTAGTTTCAGTATTCATTACTAATTAAGGGCCAAGTTATGATTAATTTGCATATTATTATTTCGGAAACAGTTCTCGTACTTGCTTACAAACGAACAGACTATATATATTTATTTGATTTGAAGGTTTCAGTGACAGGTAAACAAAGTCACTTGAGACGCGAACGAACGACTTAGCCTACTTCCGTGATAAAAACAGGATCATCACATAATACAATATTCACTTGAAACGTACGTTCGCGGCTGGCATGTTAAAACGACGGGATCGGACGTTAAACAAAACATATTTATTCATTATTTTTCACTTGACCGATTGTGGGTTTTTTTATTATTTCACTTTTTTCTCAATTTTTCTTAACTGCTTTGTAGTTTTTTTCATCGTAATTCATTATATTTGCTTTTCACTCCACTCTTGTACGCTCATATATATATATCGCTGGTTTTTCTCTAACTGGCCCTAATTTCGCATTTTTATCACTCTTTTTTTCCACCGCTGTTTCATATTTTTTTTTATCTTAATCTGCTCTATTTATTCTGCTGCTGAACATTCTGGTTTATGTTTCAGTATTCGACCGGTTCTTATTTCTTCTCGACTGCTTTGGGGGCCTCGGCCTTTGTTTCTATTTCAGTATCTCCGTCATCTTTATTTCTCCTTGGCTCTCTCTCTTGTTTCTTCTATTTTCAATCATCAGTTTTTTCAGTGTCGCCCTCAGGCCTCGCTAGTTGCTGCAACTTTCGTTCACTTTATTGGATAGCTTGCGTTGGACCACCATTTGTTTATATTTCAGTATCTCCGCCATCCCCTTGGCTCTCTTGATTCCTCGAGATCACCTGACTTTCTTTTCTGCGCTCACCGCTGGACCAAACGCCCATTTTATTTGTTTATTTCAGTATCCCGGCCATCCCCTCGACTCTTCTTGCTTCCTCTATCACCTAACTTTCTTTCCTGCTGCTCATCAAACCTCGCTGGTTACTCCGGCTTCATTCATGTCGGTTCATTGCCTGCTGCTGGCCCCTCTGGCTTCCCTTTCTTTCCTCGACCACACCTGACCACCTGACTTTTTTTGCTGCTGCTCTCATCCAACCTCGCTGGTTACCTCCAACCTTCTTTGGTCTCTGCCTGCTGCTGTCCTCTCTGGTTTATATTTCAGTATTGCCACGACGCTGCTCTCCTGCCCCGCCCGCCATTTCTTTCCTCGACCACTTCACCTGTCTGCTCCTGCTCGCTGACCCTTTCCTACCTGAACCACCTGACTAGTCTGCTGACCCTTCCCCACAACTATGTCTACCTTGTGGGGTTCGAGCCCATTTTCATACCTGGCCTTCTGTTTGACCACGTCTCTACGCTTCTCCAGCACCACCGCTACTGACGAGGGCCAGGCGAATCAGAATCTTACTTAATTAACAACGTCACTCCTGGGCAGCACACGACAAGCCTAATAGACCCGAAAAATTACATTGTACATACTGCGTTGTTTCGAAGCAGGTGTATACATACCATACGCTGGGTAGATAAGCGAACAAACGAATGGGAAAAATTAAACCTCTACAGAGACTCCAGGAAGTAATAAGCGACAGGAAATTGCGTTTTCTGGGACACATTGCAAGAACGGAAGGTCTGACAAAAGACTTGTTCTTTGGCACCATGCCTACCACACGAAAACGTGGACGACCCAAAACAAAGATGTCAGACACTGTTAAGGACATAGCGGACCTCATGTCTCAGTTGTTCAAACTGTCGCAGAACCGGGATCAATGGCATCGATTTGTCAAGAGTGCCACGGCTGGTCAGCAATGACCATCGCGTTCAAGAGAGAGTATACATACCTGAATTAAAGTCGTTCACTTGGAAAATTCTGGGAAATAATAGTATAACCCGTTTTTAATCGTTGTTGATTTCAGTTTAATTTTTTCAAAATAAATACGTAATTATGCATTCATCGGAGCAATGAAGAAGCAAGCATTAACCTAGTGTCATTTTTTGAAAGAAAATTGAAAGAAGACCCAGTCTTATTTTCGGGGAAACACGGTAATAATAATAATCAGATCATGAATTTAAATGCCTCACTTTATTCACAATATTCTGTACATTGAACACAGAAGAATAAAATCACCATTTCGGCCATCATAATTTCTTCATATTGGGAATACAGCATAGTAAATATGTGGAAACGTTTTAATCACAGTCATTTCTAACAAGTTATTTCAAGGACATTAATACACAAATTTACTTAGAAAATACACAAAATATCAAGTGAGGACTTGGTGCTTCTACGCTACAGTAAACGTATGAAAAATAAAGTGCTCATGTGTATAAAACATTGGATAGCAGAGTACAAAATGAAATATGTAACTTTGGTGAAAATATCCAAAATCGAGTTGAGAAAACAACACGCCATAGATAGAAGATACATGACTGATTGAATACAAAGCAAGTGTAATACAGTATATATTCTGACTTGATTTGGCTAAAACTATTTAAATTGGATCACAGATTGTTTTATATAATGGCCTCAACTTGGACAGAACTAAACCGAATTCTGTAACAAATATATCAATTTTATAAAATGAGTTTCTCCCGAATGGCAAGTAGTCGTGTTTTAAACCTCATTTGAAGATTAGGCTTTCTTGAGTTTCGCCCGATGTGTTTGTTTTGTGTATTGTATTTTTGATAAGTTTAAAATAAGTTTTCTATATATATTTTTTATAATTTTTTTTAAATTCAGTCTTCGATTTGAGCAATGACATTAAACAACATGATAGGCAACTCTGACGTCACTCCATAAGACTACATGCGAAAGATTGTATTTCATGATACGCTCCAATGCACATATTTCTCGTCGCCTTTCGCGACGGTTTTCCGCTTGCTTTTGCTACTCGGCGTCTTCTTTACGTGTAGTACCTGCCTTTTTGCGCCTGTAACGAAAGAAAATAATCTCTATATCTGAGAAGTTTTGCTCATTTGGAAAGCTGGAATGGCAGACAAGCTGTAAAGAGTAATTCTGAACATCATAGACGTTTTTTTATTAGATAATATTACAAACGCGATAGCGTAAAGATTTGTGTGAAACATTTTGCAGATAATGACAAAGTTCAAAGTTAGTAATTTTAATGTTTGCGCTTAAACATTGAAATTTCATTTAAAGAGGGTGTCATACAAAACAGCAAAACTGTTTTTACTTCTCTTAAAGGTGCTGTGATACAATTCCATAACACAAAGTTTGCACCTATCGAACTTGTTTTAGTAGGTGAATTTATTAGACATATTACATATTCAGTTAATCGTAGGTAACATTACTGGTACATAATGCCTCGTAGATAGGTTTGTGTCTAAATTTAGGAATTTAGCTCATAGCCCGCTAATTAATATTATCTTCTATGCAGGAGATTGCAGGGCTGATTCAACTTCAATGGAAACTACCTATATGTTTTGCCTTCCTCCGATTTTAGAAGACAAATTCAATCTGAGGAATTTTGCATATAATTCTCATTGATTGTTGGCTGTTCATAATTCCTATTAAATGTGAATTCTGATTATATCAAAGAGTTAAACATTTTTTACGTAATTTACGGGCACTTTTTCTTGTCAATACTCCAAGCTGAGGTAATAAGCAAGACAATACATTATGTCATCTGAAGCAAAATATACACACTAATTAAAAGTTTGACACATTGAGATAATACATCATGACAGAAAATACAAAGATACAGTATGTATGACCATCACATGGTAATTAAAATTAAAAAAAATTAATAGAGGCTGTGGAGTATGAAAAGTTCAAGACAAAGAAAAGAACAAAAGTTCATAGCTCATGAACTCTCAATTCTGCCTCCATTGCTTTGTGAAGGCCAATATATTCCGAGTGGCTGAATTGGTTTACCTTTATGATAGCAACGTTTTGTATTTAATATAGCGAGATTTTTTTCAATTTAATTGAAGTGATATTATTTCCCAAAGCAATGCTTGAATCGTCTAGAATAGATCAGTGGTGTCAAACTCATGGGTTTCGAGAGCCGCATTGCATGTTGGAAATTGTAAAAAGGGCCGCAAACAGTTTTTGATAATGTATACTTGAAGATATTTTTCAGATAGTTTTAGTTTGTGACATATATTGTGATGCAACTAATCAGTTGGATTAAGTTTTATTATTTTCTTTAATTTCAAATGCAATTACATATTAATATTTGCATTCCACTATTATTGCAAGTTACTGTATTTATTACAAAAAATCATAAAATTCATGTACAACCATCAAAATCATTTTTGAACAAGCTTGGTTAAGGAAAGAATAATACATACACTAAAAATGACTTAATCTAAATATATGAACCTAAAATTAACAAAAATACTACAGTATAAACTCAATGTTTTTTTAATTACATTTGTCCTGACGTTTGGCATCTTCTTTGTGTCACCAGCATACTAAGGCCAGGCTGAAATGATTTTATAGTACCAACTCTAACTAACGAGGTCACATGATCATGGGTTAATCTGTATCTTTGCAAAAGTTTAATTAATTCCAGTAATGCAAAAAAGTTACTTTTATCATTTCATGTATAGATCAGTAAAAAACAAATGACAGATTTTTTCGACAAGACATTTCACGCTACATTGCATGGCATAGGATTGCTTGAATTATTATTGATATTGATTTTTAGTAACTAAGTCGTTGTATATTTATATTAATATACAAACACATGGAAATTTTCTGTTCGGAGTTGGTCTTCGAATTTGTCATATTGACTGCTGAGCTTATTGTGTTTTTCATTGTACTGATGGAAATATGACAAATTAAACAATGTGATTCAGAATTTTGTGAAATGCAGAAATATTGCAACTCCCATTTTCTTCGAAAATGCCACCTTCTTCATGTACTTTAATTTAATCACTCAAGTGTTTTATTCAGTATTCTTTTGCTAGCTTGATGTGTATTCTTAATTGAGTCAAAATGTGAACAAAAAAAATTAACTTTCTAAAACTACTTTCAGTAAATTGTTTTCTGTGTGAATATTCAATTTCACTTTAAAAGGTTTGAAAAATCTTTTACATTTAATAAAAAAAATTCCAAAATACTATTACAATTATTGTTAAGCGTTCGAGGGCCGCACTGGAAGTTCTCTGGGGCCGCGAGTTTGACATCCCTGGTCTAGATTGAAGTTGTCCAAAATATATAACATTATTTTATCATGAATCATGATTATACCCTTTCTGAATTTCTTCTATAGTACTACCAAAATTTGATGAACCAAATATAACACAGGTGTAGTCAGTGACCGTAATCCTCATTTTTCAAAGCTGTTTTAAGTATGTCTGGCATGTTTTGTGCCTTTTTACAAAGAAGACCGCTTATGCAATCTTACGCTTTGGAATTTTTAGTTATTTCCTCAAGCCCTGCAGGATGTAGGGGCCATACACAACTTTACCGGAGGGTCAAATGTCTTTGCATTCCTCCATAGGTTGTTCTTCTATTGCAAACATTTATGGAGTATTCTAATCTATTTCTTGGAATCAAACTGTCACTGATATGTCGCCAGACTTCTGATATCTCCCTTCAGCTACAGTTGTCCTGTGAATAAATAATAGGAAATTGAGGTTAGACGAATAGTTGAAAGTTTTGTTTTATGTCGGCCTAATTTTTGATTGATATACTACTATTATTGCTATTGCCTCTTGTGCTGCAGGAGTCTCACAATGCTTAGACAGGTCTGTCCACAACTTTCACATCCGTAGGAGAGGAGATGTATTAATTTTCGTTAAGAATAAATAAAGCAGTCTATATGATTCAGAATGGAAAAGCTAATAAATCCAATATCTTATGTTTTTTGTAAAAATTGTTTTACTGATTTGGTATATAAACCCACTAATAAAGGGGTTTAGTCAGAAAATTATAAGCATTCGTGGCTCCAAATACTTGAGAGATCAGACTATACAATATAGACCGGTATGAGTGAAATTTTAGGTGAACTTGTTAACCCGTTGATTCAATACGCAAATAGGATAGGATAGGATTTACATATTTATCCCGGAGGGAGAGGAAAGCCGGCTTATCCATATGGCGAACCACGGCCTCTCGTCCGGTTACCATTCCAAGTCGGGTATGGGATTAGTTTTACTGTATTGTTTGTTTTCGAAGCATGGACTTGGTGGTGGAGGAGGCCGTAACCGACCAGCGGTTACGTGAACCACCCAACGACGGCGAGGAGTCCAGCAATCCTCTCGCACATAACCATCCCTGCATGGGATGCGAACCCACGCAGTAAGTAATAACAGTGAATGAGCAATAGTATGTTACAGCAATAAGTATATATCCTCACTGATTAAAAAAATCTAAATGGAGGTGCATGAACTATTTGAAACCATAAGAGGTAAGTAAATATGCAATTTCGGCAGATGTCCAACTAAGTACCGTACTGAATTATTAACTTCGTATTATTTGACAAAAGCTGGCTTTCCCGCATGTACTTAACAGTGCGATGCCCGGGTGTGATATACAACAATAGTATTTACCTTACTTTTTTCCGATTTATTTTTACCTTCAATTTTCCACATATCATTAAAAACCACAACAATTGTCGAAGCAGGCTCGAACACCATTCGTGCTATGCCTTGAAAGCAACACACATCCGCTCGTTTTCGTCTCGTCAAGTATGTGCATTGGAGCGTGCTATCGAATACGATCTTCGGCCAAATATGCCGGAGTTGCGCATCATGTTGTTTAATGTCATTGATTTGAGCGAACCCGTGTAAAAGTAGTGGTGGTAGCGGTAACCAACCCCTTATTCACATCCAGACGTGCGATGACGTAATGAGGACAGTACGAGTCGATAGACAAAAGACTGTGGTTTCTGGCTGGAATACCTAGACTTCACAGTCCTGTAGATGCCAGGCATACAGTAGTACCGTAGATTGGTATTGTCTGATTGTACCGGCGTTTAGTCACGATATTTACCATACCGGTAAGTATCCATCGCCTGATCATCGGAAGGGGGACGTGGCGAAATAGATTACGGTACCGGTACCGGTGCGGTATGTTTACAGTTTACTGGTATAGTTAACAAACCACATACCGTACGGCTGTACGGTCTGACGGTTCGGCGTTTTCATGCTAAATAAAATAAAACGATTAACTGTAAATTATGTGTAAGTATAACTTATATGCAAAGCTGAATGGGTTACAAGTGGATAAACTCAACTCATGTGGACATTGGCCTATATTCAGATATTGGAATATACCGGTATTAAATTAATGACATGGATTATTTTTGGGGGAATGGGTTTTAAATTAAAAACCAAAACATGTAAACAAAACATTTGTATTCAAAATAAAAGATTCTATCCTAAAATCTCAATACGAAAATTCTGTTTGACATTGGAATTTATTTCACACAAAAAGAAAAAGATATGGAAGGGGGTCGGTCGTCTATCTTTCAGTCCTCTGACTGTCCAATCAATACTGCAATAGTACAGTGGTAATGACTGGTATTCAATGGGAAGATAGCACAAAATATCAGAAATATAAGCAGTTCTCTTCAGCTCTTATACATATGTGCACGGACATCCTAGATTTATTTATTTTTCTGTTTGTCAGATATGTGTGCTATCTTAAAGTCAATTGCTGTATTGACTATTCCTTGATTGTTTTTAGTGGACCAAGTCCAGAAGTCATGCTTTCAGACAGATATTATACTACCGTATTACTAACAAAAGACAACAAGACTAAAATATGTTGTTATTACTGCAGTACTGTATTAAGATACTATACTTTCTGACTTTGCTCTGGTTATATTCAGTACCAGGTACTGAATACCATTCAGTACCATTCAGTACCAAAATCATTGTCTTTTCTTTCCGTGTATTGATTCTTTGATTACTAAACTCAGAGAAAGTCTTGTTTGAATCTGTGGTTAATGTCATAATTGATTTAAATTATTATTGAGACAAGCTTGGTGCGATCTGCCATCATGCCAGAGAGTGTCTGTTTTATTGAACCAAATGTCGGGACATTGAATATGGACGCCGGGAGTCTGAGAACTGTGCTCTACTGGTTTTAGTGATAGACTGTTTAATCTCTAACAAACTTGATACTTGCGTTTTAGGTTTAAAAAATAACTATCAGCATGGTTTAAAGTATATAATTCGGTAACGTAAATATTCCAAACTGCATGGTTCTATGTAGACTTTTTCTTTGATAATTTCTCACAAATCGATCGTGAGGTATTGTCAGAATTTCCAATTGGATTTATAAATCAAGATTGTTGAATAATGGCGGATGATAATAGTACAGAAGCTCCATCATCGAGTCCAAAAAAGAATGAAACGAACAAAGATAAAGTGAGTTGAAAGTTGTTTTATGTGATCTTTTCAACTTTGCATACTGTATTGTATCTGAAACAATAATTATTAATGCTATTCACTTGGAACAAGGCCTTGTACGAGCTGTCACTGATATGTAGGGGGATTAGGTTGTTTTAGACCTAAAATTTGTCATATTTCTTTTGGGTTATTCATAAAAAAAATTTGTTAATATCGATCATCATCGATTTTTATATTGAAAATTTAGATTGAATTTAATAATATAGGGTGACCCCAAAAATACGGAACCCGGTCCATTTGGAACATCTTGTATGGGTTCCGTTTTTTTGGTTCACCCTGTATATAATAAATACAGGTTGTTTAAAATGGATTTTAATTTCAAATATTGATCTGCAATATCACATCGATGATTAAAGTAATGTATATTTGTTTCACCTAACCAGATTCGGCTTAAATTGATACTAGTCAGTGGAAAGACTCATGAATTTTACTTCACACCAAATGACACTGCATCTGACATTGGAAAATATGTATTTCAACACTGGCCCGAACGTAAGTATTTATTATTGGCCTGAGGTCTGTATCTAAGTAGAATGGCATTTATCAAATATTCATTAATTTTATACATACGGTACCTAACCTAACAGAAAAAGTGAAACTAGAGTACTATGAATTTAAGGAATCTGAATTTGTCGTAACGCTTCGATACGTATAGAATGGTATCTTATCCTTATACTTTCAAATAAAACACTTGACTATGAATCAAATGGAATATCTTGAAACTGGTAAACAGTCTTCATGTTATTCCATTTGCAGAATATTGGGATGTCAAAATAAATTACGGTAGTTGAAGTGAAAATTGAAATTTTGGTATTTGAATTAGATGTTTTGCAAATATTCATATTTTACAAACAAATGTCGGTTTATGTGAAAATTGTCAAAATAGTCTTATTTTTTTTTGTTTTGTATTAAAAATGAATCAAAAATAATATCTAAAATAAGAGATTACGGTTAATAGACTTCTGTGATTTTAGATACTTTCTCAGTTTACCAACTGAATATATCGTACTGTGAATAAATGGTATTTGCGGTAGTGATCTTGTTGATAAAATGGTTAGAAAAATAAAAAGATGATTTTTCCCCTCAAACAGGAATATTGGAAAATGGAATATTGGTGATATCTTATTCTAAATTCGGTCATGATCAACAAAAACGCTTAGAAAACAATGTATTTATAAGTTTAAATTTGGAAATACAGAAAAGTTAGTTGATGAGTTCTATATTTCTCACTGTTCCTTAAAATTTAATGAAATTTTTTTTTTGTGAAATGTGGAATTGCATTTAGGTACTCGAAACAATAATTTTTAATATGGATCTATTCTGGAAATCCCCAAAATCATAAAAAACCTCTTCTTGAAAATAAACAAATCATTACTTGGAAATTCGTTTAAGATTTGGACTTTTGCTTTGGTTACAAATCACATTATAAAATATTGAACTCAAGAGTAATCATGCATCTGTGCTGTGACGTATTGATCTTTTTTAAATATATAGCATCTATTATTGATTATGCCTCCCACTGTTTTCTGGTGTAATTATTAATTAATGGTTCTAGTAAATCACTGAAAAATTTGGTTAGATAATGGTAAATAAAAACTATAATGTTAGATTTCATTTGTTCCAAGGAGGTCTCTTTTATTATGTAACAATGTGAATTGTAACACGCTACTTCACTTGTGAGGATGTGTAACTCATTTACATATAATGACTGTAATACTCTATTGTAGGCTACAATATTTACCAATTCTTGTTGGAATGCTCTATTTACTAGATTTAGCAAAAGGGGAATATAAATCTGCTAATTTTATTTATTTCAACATTAAGCGTATACCTTTACTACTATTTACTGCTATATCATGTTAATTATCTTCAAAGGCTTCCACAAATTTACATAAGTTTACATTAATTTGCATAAGACTTATTTTACATTGATTCATTGTACAATGCAACAATGGTGAGTAGAGCTGAGAAATGGAAAATTTTCCAACAAATACAATCCTTTGTACTTTTGTAATATTTATTATTTCATTGTGGTTCCGAAATTTTTTTTATTCATGAAACAGTCCTCAGCAGTACTAAGCAGCTGTAGTTGGTTTCAATCTTGGTGTATTTTATATTCAACTGAAAGAGTATTCGATTTGTATGGCCAGATTACTTGATCAATACTTACGGTAGTTAGTACTAACATGTCCTTGAATAATCAATATCCGTGCTCTGTGTATGATATTCAGGCATGAAATTTGGTTTACATATTCAGTTATTGCATCCAAAATTAAAACATCCGATTGAAGGATTCCTGTCACAGAGCTACAGGCTATTTGAAATAGTGTATCTGTTTCTTATTTTGTTCTTAAGTATATTTGAAGATTCACATACTCTGCTGTGGTCTTTCAGTATCACATATATGCACACTGCCTTTTTTGATATTTACATTTTCTGTTATTAATCACCCACAGGCCACAGCTTCTGGATCAAATAGAAAATAGTAAACAGTGCACTCTTTCTATGCTAAAGTCAATAATCCAAATTAAATATTGGAAGTCACGTCCAAGTGCCAATAAAAGGATTAACTGAGTCTTTGTTATTGTTAAGTAATGAACAATCATGCTCAGTTATTCATCTCATACTAATGGGACTTATATATTCAATAAATAAATTGTTTTGTCACTTGTGAAATATTAAAAATTTCTTTGCTTCCAACTTTATAATAGTTAGGCTATTTTATTTGATGTGCGACAGAAAATTTGATTTTACCAGACTTTGGAGATCTGAATCCATTTGTATTAATGTTGTCTAAGTAATTTGACTTATTTTCAATAAATCCTATTTACCGGTAAATAATTCTTATCCAAAATTGATATGTTCATTTGAAAATCTTTCCAATTTATAAAGTAAAATTTGTCTCATGGTATAATTTTCAGTTGGGGTTTTGCGAGACTTACAATTCTCCCTGTCCCCGTATATGCCTTTGTGTCAGTGGATCTGTATGCATATAGTGCAAGATTGTGTAGCAAAAATAAAGATGACTCTATCATGTAAATAATAGGTGTTAATAGGGCCAGAGATCAAATAGTCAAATTGAGAAATTTAATTGGCTGATACAAGCAGATCAAAACATGCAAATATCTCAACTGGTAACAAACACCACAGAGAAACAAATGACCTATATTTTTATGTTGTTTTAGAAATGATCAATATGAAGATATAGTGATTTATATAATTTTCCAGATGAATTTGCCCCCAATTTAGAATGTATTCAAAATTTCATTTATAAAAATATTTTCTCAGAAATCGGAATGCATTTTGGCCATTCCTAGAGGGGGCATTTTTTAATATGCTGTATTTAATTGACTTTATGTATATTTTAAGCCAAACAAAATATAAACTATTGATGCGAATATATAATGAAATTCCTCACTATAAGCAACTTCGTTTTTTCAATATACGGTAGTGTTTAATAATATTCACACTTAGGTACTGAAAGGTTTCTAAGAGAAAGAAAGCGAAACCAACAATTGTGCACTCAATAGCTCTAGTGTGGTGTAACAGACTGTTGAATTGCCTCAATGCTCAATATTGAATACTGTGGCTTTCAAGCTTTGTCTGCATTCCCATAGCACCTGAAATCAATTATTCATCGAGTTTAGCAGATATGTCCTCTTCACTCGCTCGAGACATAATAATTTGAGACACTCACGTTTAATGAGTTTGTTGGGCATACCAAGTATCTGGTACTTTCTCTGGCCTATGTTAAAATAACAACTTATGATCATTCTGTTGGGCTTGTGTTCACGGGAGTTATCCTTGTATTATATTTGTTATCACAGTTGTTTAAAAAGTCAATTTTGTGTAGTGTTTGGGTCAGCTAGTCTTCGAACTGTTTAAATTACTAATGAAGTGTAGTGTTTGTACTTGCATCATAATATATGGAATTCAAGGTGTATTTTTGCCCTATTTTATGATTACAATATTGACACTATTATTAAGACTGCTCAATTGCTCATTAAATATACATGGTGAGTTTGGTGACCCAAAAACAAAAGCCATGAATTTCTTGATCGCTTCTACGAAAATGAAGAAAATTTATTCAATTAACATTTAAACTGCTGTATGTGTGTGATTGTACCTAGATCATTGGTTTTCAAACTTTTTAAGATGTGTCCATTTTAGAATTTATCAAGTCTCGCGCCCCACCTTGCTAACAGTAAGCTACACATAGTAAGGCGAAAGTATGTTTTATTCAAAAAAGTTGAAAATACGTGGATAGAACGTAAATGATGAAATGAATGAAAAGTTTTAAATGTAAATATCCAAAATAAGGCAGGCAAGATCAAATCTAACAAATATTTTTATTTTTAATTAACTTAACGCCCCCTCAAAAAATTGTCTTTATCCTCCTGTTTGAGATTATTCTAGATTATTTTCTAAACGACTTTGGTTCTGTTGAGTACCCATGTAATAGTGTTCTTGAAGCATACCTGAGGATTATTTCAATGTCTCAAATCACCTTACAACAGTTGCAAGTAAATCTGATAAGATAACGGACTACAAAAGTATTTGACAAAAATGACCATTGAACACACAAAAATGATTCATATTTATACAGGATTGGATTAAAATGTACAGATATGATGGCATTCCAAACAATATCCTTGCTGTCAAGTGACACATATAGGGAAGTGCAGTACTATTTTTCATAAGGAAATCACATGTTCATTCATTATAATGTATGAATCAAATAGGTTCAATTTATTCATTCAGTGACAAGTCAAAAAATTGTCATGTGAATTACAAGATAAAGAATACATTTTTCAAATATATATGTAAGGCAGTGGTTCCCAATGCTTTACCTATTTTAAGACTCTTTTTTTCTCACTCACTATGCGTAAAAAGGTTCTCCCATAGTGTGTGTACCAGGTTAGGGTTAAGCCATAATTTTATTCCGATTTTCCTTATTTTAGTTCTATTACCAGTTTGGGGACTGTCTGTGCCAAGCCGAGTAAATTTACCCCCTACCCATAGGTTTCACTCCTTTTACACAACTTGATGCAAAGTAGGTGAACAAAATTAGTTACGGTACCTTCATATTCATACACACACTTCTGGAGCGCCCATAAAAGTACGGTACTTTATTTATCCAATCTTTAACTAATAGATTGTTAGCAAGTCTTATGCACAAATTGCACTCCTTCTGTTTTAAGAGTTTGAGTAGCACAGCAAATACAAAGCAAAATTCCATGTGAAACAAGGGTGTACTGTAAGGTATAATTACTATCTAAAATACGAAATTCAATACATTTTCTAAGTAGGCCTGCTATGTTATTCTCATATTGAAGAGATATTACATATTTTCCTATTTTGTTTGCTTTATTAAGTGTAGTTGGTAGGCCTGGTTCGAGTCCCTTCACCTTGTGTATTAATATATAAAACAGGCTGATTTATTTGTCTAGTTCCAGAGAAGGTTTTACATTTGATCAGTCAATATTGGAATAAATAAATCGTTGTACTAATGTTTATCCACACTGTGGTTCTTCGTGTTATGAATCCCAGTAGCCTACCGAGAAGTCCAGATCTCAATAGTTATCAGTAAAAATCGAATAGCTTTTATAAATTACTAAATTCATTATTATATACAGGGTTCCAAAAAACAGAACCCATTAATTTCTGAATTTGTTTCATGAAAATGAATGAAATTTATGTAACTCTTGAATTTGAACGTTCATGTATGATTTTACCCAACAGTTTCAGTGATCTAGGGCGGTGGTCGGTAACCTTTTTGTAAGTGACGGACCAGTATAACCTGATCAAATTTTCAGCGGACCACCTTTATACAAATGGACTAAGCCTATGTAATAAAGTAAACGCGTTTGGAAATTTACTTTGACAATATATTACGGTAAATGAGAATATCGGTCGGAGACCGAAGACTTATCGATCCACCGCATGTCCCATTACTAATCAAATAATAACTCGCTAATTATCGGACATAATTCATCCAAAATCAATAGGCCTCTGGTCCGAGATATGATGAATGCACATGCAAAATTTGGAGCAGATTCAACCAAGCCTTCTAGAGATATCGCGTTCATCTAACAGACAAATACCTATCAACATACTTACCGATCTTAAGCTCGATAAGTAAAAACAAAGGTGATGTTATTTAATGCGAGATCTCTATTTGTTTGCTGACCATTAACAGTTTCCAATTTGGCAGTTGGATTGTGGAGGTGTTATTAATAAGCCCTTGTCCGTTTTTGTGCCACCTTTCTGCGGACCTCAGTAGTAACCTAGTGGTTGCCGAGTGCCGACTACTGATCTAGGGTGCTTTATACAAAAATTATGTTTTCTCTGACATATTATGTTCTATATCTTTTGGGCTGAGCTTCTATAATCTAATTCAAATTGAATATGATGCTACCACTATTAGTGGCGATTTTTGTATGAAAACAATCTGAATTGACAATAAATATATTTTACGAACAATGTTGATTTAAAAGATACATATAATACCAGTATATCTTCTGCACAAAAAACTTATTTAAATTACGAATGCCTACAATTTTATCAGTTATGCAATTTGTTTGTAGACAATAACTGCAATACATTACATCATGTTGTTCTTTGTGTTATGCATATTTACAAAGCATATTATTACTGTATATTACTGGCAACAAATGCTTTATACGAGGTCAATATACCCTTGTATGTCCCTTTAATATGACAACAAAGAACCTATAAATTTACAATACATAGATTTCGGTACTCCTGTAGTGTGTGTACCGGGTTAGGGTTAGGCCGTAATTTTATTCCGATTTTCCATTTTTAGTTCTATTACGAGTTCGAGCCCATAGGCTTCAGTCCCTTTACACAACTTGACATAAAGTAGGCGAGCAAACTCAGTTACCTCCATATTGGTACACACACTTCTGGAGCGCCTAGAATTCAATACAAGTGTTAAATATGATGGATCTTTGTGCATGTATTCATTCGGATTTGTGATGGTTGAAAATATCCACCTAAAAGCCCTAATATTTGCAAATTGCTATTGCTTTACATAATGAAATAGTTCACAATCATTTATATATGTATACCAATAATGGTTGGAATAAAATAATAACCTTTGTATTTATATGCTCAATTAGATATATATTCGTATAAGATCGGAATAGCTCCAACTGTGTAATGATAGGTCACTATAATAAAGTATATTTTCCGAATGTGAAAGTGTTGAAAATATCGAGCAAATTTCGAAAATTTGTCGAATCGCAATGAGTTATAAACGAGCCATCGCTACAATTTTGAGCCTCAAAATAGTCTTAACGTGTTATACTGGCATTGCAGATCACTTATATCAGGTTCCAATCCCAAGCCTCCCATGTTACTCAGGGTGAAATCTATTGGAAAGATAATGCCGAACCAGAATGATTTCAATAGATATCACTGGCTGCTTGTATAATGCTTTGTTCAGAGCCAAATAAGTGCCTTTTATGATTAAAAATACAAAATATCGCACCTCGTCTATAAATTCCACACAGTTACAATATACTCTCAATTTATCAATATAAAGCAGCCCATATATTATATGACTGCTTGCCATAGGTTATAATCAAGCGACCCATTTAATAAATGACATCTTATTAGCTTCTAATTTACTATAATGCCAGGTCATTGCAATTGATCATCCCTTATTATAATATTATAAATTGAATGTCAATTTTTATTTTTGTCATAGGTTCTTAAGAATTTCTAATGTTAAGTATTGATATGCTTTTATTTGTAATATTATAATACAAACATTGAAGTACATATAATATTTAATATTATTGATCAGCGTATGTAATTAGATTAAAGACGACAATACATGAATTAAATGGATTATATCATAATTGTCTGGACGTTCACAATTTTTTGCTGTTCGGTTTTTAATTTTATATCTCATATAGCCTAGCTCTTTTCAATTTTACAATGTAAGGTAATACAATCAGTAAGTACCAATATGACATATCATTGGATAAATCCTTACTTAACTAGTTAGATGATTTGAATGTTTTGTGCGCTTCAAATGTGGCTTGAGAATTACCGTACATTCTCTTCACAGCATATGGAAATATTTTTCGTCCAATTCTAGTAGATTTCTATAAATTACATTGGAATTAAACTGAATATTACGTGTTAGTTAGTATAATAGAAAATTTGTGGAAATAGGTGGGGATAACATCAACAATCAGCGGTAAAATATTTTTTATTTCGCCTTCTGTTTCCCACTGATGCTAATTGAGCAGCCTGCAGCAATTAACACCCAATAAGGGAAGATGACTTTACGCTATTGAACTGTATCCAGAATTTCACTTATCACATACAATAGGATAACTGAAAATCAGCAGCTGTATTCAGTTATACATTTTGGTACGTGTTAACTGTCAGCCACTCGCACCATCTGAATAACACAGAAAGGTTCCTGTCTTTTTTAAACTCGCTACACAATGGGAACTGTTAATGTTTAAAGGGAAATTGTGAATCCTGTTTTAAAATATAGGTTATGTATTCTGTTTGTCAACAGAAAAACTTCCTGCACATAACTCATGCAGCCCCATAAAGAGGCATGAATCTTTCTATTATTCTATTTTCCTTCAACAATTGAAAAGCTGACTAAACTTCCATTACTTCAATTCTATTGTATGGATAGGCCTCAAACTCAGCCATGTTAAATTATATCCCACTGATGTTATCATGAATATAACTCTTGTTATAGAATGTTGAATTTGAAAAGATGTTATAGTGATTTACATGGTTTTTGTCTGTAATATTTATTGTGGTTAATCCGAGCTAGCTGAGCTTGTTATGAATTTTCTTTTATCAATGCTATATGGGGATGTTAATGTCATTTTCTTTTGTAAACTTACATTACAACTAACCACAATCTCGGAATTTCAGTAGATTCGGGTATTAGCCAACCTTTTTAGTAAGTGTGCAAATTCCCAAAAAATTCAGTATTAAAATATTTGGTAATACAAATTTTATCTTTTACATATCATTAATTCTGTTGTGTAATAGAAGATCTAGTAAAACCCTCATTTCTGTATTGATATCCCGCAGGCCGCAATAGCATGTTAGTTGTATGGATCTCGCTCGAGCCATACATAATTATTTTTGAATAGATTGCAATTGGATTTCGTCTCAGTAGTTATTGATTACTTGATATTCGGTATACAAAAAATCTTATTGATTATATTCTGAAAGTTTCATTATTGGAATTCCATGTGGTAATATAGTAACATGAAACTCTAAATGAATATTCATGCAATCCAATACTGGTCATGCTTATCCCTATTCTTCTCATAAAAGGGAGCATTTGAGACTTAATATTTTCTTGGAAAAGTTGTAATATGTCATTCTATACTGAGTTAACTGGTGTATAGGGGAAAGCTGTTCTGACCAAAAGTCTCTCCGATATCTCTAAATTCTTCTAATCAGAGTTTATCCTTGGGTAGTTATGATGTTGATTTATAAAAAAACGAGACTTTTTAACAAAAAATTTTTGTAATAGTTTGACTGTGAGGTTATTGGGCACAAAGTGTACCTATGGGATTGTTTTGTTATTAATAATATTTGGTAATATAGAGTTTGGTCCATGTTTGGGGCAGGTGTGTGATCAAAAAAACAGAATCCATAAATTTTTTGATTAGTTCTACGGAAATTTATTCATTAACACATGGATTTCTGTTTGTTTATGATTGCTGCCAAAAGTTTTATTAATCTAGGACGCTTTGCACAAAAATTATGTTTTTCTTTTATAATAGGATTGTCCCAAATGACTTGGGTTTTGGTTTTTATAGGTCATCAAATTTTCAAAAAACAACCAAGGTTTTCTTTAGTCGTTCCAACTGGTTCTAACTTGACATTATTTTATTTTTTTCAGATTGGGAAGACCGAGTCGACAATCATCGAATATTAAGATTAATATACCAAGGCAGATTTTTACATGGAAATGTATCATTGGGAGGTATTTATAAATAATATCTGTATATTTTATTCTGATCTGGATCTCGGATCTCATATTAGAAAAATTTGCATAAATTAATATATATCCATTGAGATTTGTTTTGAATATACCGTATTTCCGGCGAATAAGTCTATTTTTAAGCCTATTTTTAGCTCTGAAAAATAGGGTTTTTCCATATAGCCCTCCAATAAGACGAGCTGAAAAATTGCTTCTTTGTTGGTCAGTTGAACATTAATATGCGCTTGGACTTTTATATGGTTAGAACCAGGTCATGTTCGTTTCAGGTAGAATAATACTCACAGCATTATTTCTTAACAATAAAAGCGGTAATTTCAATCATTTTGAACAACCCTGAAATATTGAAATAATTTATGAATATAGTGTGATAAGTACTGCGCTGTACATTCATGGGTTAGTTAACAGCTTTGTTTTCCAGTCTTGTGTTGTTTTTCCCTGAATAAGCAAAACGGAAGGGTCATAAATCATCTTGAAGTAGCTGTTAAAAGGAATAATACAAATAACAGCTGGCAGTACAAAGTCAATTAAATGGTCTTGATTGGCAGACACTTTGGCGATACATTATAAAAGATATCAATTCATATATGAAGTAAATCATGTTTGAGAAGCTTTGCGAAAAATAACCAAATCCCAGAAAAAATAAAATACCCGGGGAAATACAGTAATTTAACACATATCTTCGCATATAAGTCAATCCCTTGAAACGGTGAATTTATAATAATTTGAATATAAGCCGCCCCTACAAATCGTAACACGTCGTACAAGTTGTAGCTGTTGGAATAAGGTTACCCAAGTGTCATTTCATTTTGAGTGCTATTAGAGTTATGCGAGTATAAACCTAGTTTGGCAACCTTTTTTTCAGTTTTAAACTTTGCTTATATGCCAAGATATATGGTACTACTTGCCGCCAATAACGGTACTTTTGAAATTATAATTTCCTATCTTTTTAATTAAATATTAGAAACTTAGGTATCGCTGCTTAATACAGGGAGTCCTCGACCTACGACGTTGTTCCGTTTTTGAGACGCGGTTTAACCCAAATTTTGGTGTAAGTCGGAACATTATAGATGAATGACTCTATACTCGACCTACCAATGTTCGTTGGTGTTTCACCGTTTTAGATCGCTTAATAATGTCTAATTTCACTTCCATGCTAATGGCCTTTTCCTTTCTTTGATGCACTAACATCAGAAACATCTGTTTTACGTTTTGAGTCAAACTGTGTTATGTGATCATCGAGCTAGATTCGAAATTTCCATAAATCTTAAGTCAAAAATTGTTTCATCGACTCTGCAGCTCTGATTGCCAGCTACATTGAAAATTATATAACAAGACAAATACTATTTATAGATACAACACCAAAATGCCATTATCACTTATTACATTTCAAACAGTTGAATTTTCATATATATTGCATAAATATTTCATTTCACCGCAATATATATATTACCAAGAAACAAAACCTGCTGTATTCTACTAATTGTCTCACAGCCCACAAGGAATTATAAATCAATGGATCAATTGCACTAAATCGTCTTAATCCTATTTTCTAGATTCAATATTGACTGTCGTCTCTTAGTAATTAATTATTGAAATATGGTTATAATTGGAATATATCAGTAATGTGGAATTGTGTTAGAATAATACATGAATTGATATGCCTTCTTAGGCCATATATTTTATGTAAGGTTTCCCAACCTGGGATTTTTGCTTCACATTTGGTTCTAGTGCTACCATAACTTCATGGATGGTTTTATTTAGGCTGATAGGTGAAGTTCACTGACTGTTTTGTTGTTAAGATTTTTATCAGGTGCATTAAATATTATTTCTTGACTTGAATTTCAGCTCTGAAACTTCCAACAGGAAAATTAGTCGTTATGCACTTAGTACCAAGAGAAAATCTTCCTGAAATGCCTTCACAAGGTAATATTTTATTTGACTTTGTAGCTCACTTTGGTAAATTCTACATTGGATATTTTTCTCACCGGTATTATTTGCTAAAATAAAAATATTTCCATTCTTGCTAATTAGTATACAGGTTGTTCATGTCCTGTTTTAATGTAAAAGATTTCAACTAATGGCGGACATACCAATTATTAGTATTAAATGAGATATAAAACTCATATTAACACTGTTTAAAATAAAACAAACCTGGTTAAGATTATATTGAAAACTGACTTCATAACAAAATTTAGAAATTATTAAAGGGCTACCTTGTACAGTACTATAATTATATGAAGAAACGAAATGTTATTTACTGGTGACGGGACTATCACCCCCTCAATTGTATGCATCGCCAATTAATATTTGCTTGAATGGTTAGATTCTAACATTGTATAATACTTCTTTTAAATTCATAGGGGAACGAAATCGGGAAAAGTCAAACGAAGGCGGATGCACTAATTGTTGTACAATTCAATGAGCAAGATTAATTAATTTTTGACTGACATTCTCTTTCATGCAAAATCTGTAAAAAGAGACTAACATGATCAAACACGGGCCAAAGACCTACAAGACTTTTATATTTTGTATGCCCATGCTTCACCGACCGGAATTCTAAAATAAAAATTCATACTGTACAAAATGAATATAAAAGCTGGAGAAAACAGCTTTATATCTCCTCTCTGCTATAAGTTATGAGATTGGCAAACATAGAAACTCCATAGTTTAAAGTTGTGTATCTGCTTTATTATACGTGGTGCCCTTCCTTCTTGAATTCATTTTCCTTTCCTTATTTTCATTACTTATATATATATATGTTTGTGTCTTATTATAGTGAACTGTTGAAGTCTGTCAGCTGACTTATGGTATGTCCAAATTATCCAGTTTCTGTAAAATTTCATTCCAATTTACTGGGCAACGATTTTGTGTAATTGCAGCTAAATAACTGAGTAGAAACACTTTCTGGTTTGACATAGGTTATCTATACCATTTTCCATCTAAGATAAGGTGATGATGATATAAAGTTTTGTGCTTAGCTGAAAAAAGGCACCTTTATACTTCGCAAAGTAAGATGCTGATATTGATAACAATCGTCATGATAAAAATGTGAGTTTGAAAAATTGTTGGACATCCCTGAAACAGTATATCTTTCCATTCATTGTTTGTATTGTGCGGTGAGCGGTCTTTGCTCAAGGAGTATTATACAGCGAGACTAGTTTCCAACAAAATGCAGTGACTATTAAAAAAATCAACAAAATCAACTTTTTCTTACAATAGTGGCCATAAGTTAAAATTTACTGTATATATATATTTTTTTGTCTGTGTTTTCTTTTCTCTTTAAATGCATTTTCTGATCAAAAATGTCTTCAATTGAGTGACAACTGATATTATTAATTGGTTGGGTATTGGATTTAGTAGATCGATAATTAGTTTTCTTGAGAACTGATTTGTGAACCAAAGTCAGTGGCACAATATTCAAATTACCCAATGTTTCAGTGAGTACCCTTGTCATCAAAATCTTGTACATATTGGCTGGTCAAGCCCGGCAATCCTTTTGCATACTACTACTACATATCATTTCTGTACAATGTGGTTGATGGCGCTGCGAATTATTTTGCAAAAATATTTTGTGAAGCCCATTAGTTTCTACATATTGGGGGTCATCGTATTCTTGTTTGATTATATATATATACATTTCCATCAATTTATATTATAACTGTGATGTTCAAATATAATACATTAGAATAATATTAAGGTTTCTCAAATCAGGTTGGAGATGTTAGTTCACCTGTCAAGCGCTTACAGATGGAATAATATAACAGCGTGATTTTAGTTTCTAGTGTGTAGCAACATTCTGTTTTCTATGCATAGATTTTTATAATTTTGTTAGACACAAATTCATTCTTTGTCTCACTGGATACAAGCGTCAAGATACTCCAATTTAAATAATCTAGTACTGCTTTTCATTATTGGCTCGGATTAACTTACATCTTGCTTGCATGCAAGCCCCTGTACCACTGTAATAAATCCCAAATATGGAACCAGTCCAGATAATTTACTTACAAACTCCTATTCTGCTCTTCTATATAATCTTATTTATAGTCTTTACTGTAGCGTGTATATTATTTTGCAATAAAGCCGATTTTTTTTCTCACACCAACAATATACTTCTGCAAACAAAGTTTTTTTTTTCATACCACAGGGTTCAGTCATTAGCCCATGAATGTTGTTCTTTCTTTGTTTACACGCGAATCTGCAAAATGCATTGATTGCCTAGTAACCATGAAAAGACATTACAAATACGAGAAAAACAGTAGCACCAAGATCTATCTATCATCCATCGACACATTAAATCTGCTTTCGAAACAGCTTCACTGTCAACCATTAGTCCGATGACATTCTTCTCGGTGCTTCAAATAAATGTAAGTTGCTGTCATCTACCGCTCCAGTCGATGAGGGCGTGTCTTGTTTACATCATCAACTAGAAGCGGTGCGTCCTAGTCATTTCTTCCCACGTTTATTGCCAAGAGGAGGACGTTTCAATTCAAATGTACTACCAGTGGCAGCAGAACCACCAAAAGTGAGTCCAGCACTCGTGTTGAGTGATGAAGTGTTGCCGAACAAGCCAGTGGATTGTGTAGCAGATGTGCCAAACCCTAAAAACAGTTGCCAAAATGATCAGCGGAATGAATATACAAGTGTTCCTTCAGCTTTAATTATTGGATCCTGAGGAAACTAAAAGTACTACCTTGCGCAAAAATGCCATTTATCCAAACAACAGAAACCTTCAACCCTACAATTTAGCAAAACAATCCAGAGAAACCTTCAAAGGTATTCTTGTGAGAAATTTGTACCTGCACTGAGGGGTTTAGTAGTTGAACCAAACCCACTAAAACCTCCGAACTTTGATCCAGTGGTTGTAGATCCACCACCAAATAAACTTGCAGTGCCAATAGGTTTGTTTGCTCCGCCAAATAGTCCTGTACCACCTGATACGAAATAGGGATGACATAATTTAAAACAAGTCTTACACATGCCCTTTTGCAGTGATACTGCCATTCCCTATCATCACCTACCAGCTGGTTGTGTGGACAAATGACCTTGTTGAGGTGGTCCCTGTTGCTGTTGACTTTGCTGATTAACCATTGATGCCATAGCTAAAGCAGCAACATTACTGAGTTGGTTGAACGGAGATAAGCCGGAAGTCTTTTGAGATTTTTCTGTGTAGAAAACGCATCAACTAGATATTTTTCTCTCAAATATGTCATTGTTGAATGAATTCTCATAGAGTTTTCATCCCAAACACAACATGATTTCATGAATTTTGTTGATTCTTTATACAAAATTTTACAACATGATGTACAGAATTAATATAGTACATTAAGAATTGCAGCGAGAACTTCACTATATTAAAATGTTAAATGGACCTAGGATAGACTCATAATCCCTTATTTTCCCGTCTTTTGAAGCCTCTGATCGCGTAGCTTATTAATTAGGATACCACCAAATCAGAAAAGTATATCATTTCAGGTATATAACATGGCAATGTATCTTAAACTAAAGCACTGGTTTACCCAAATAAATGGGCAGGTGCATGAGAGTTCGTTTTTTATAATTTGGCCTATCTTATTACCATGTCAGACAAATGAAGAAACATCATCAAGATTTACCTTGCGTAAGCTTCTGTTTATTTGCAGCAAAAATGTCGAAAGTATCATTATGTACAATTCTTCGATAAACCAGATATTGTTCTTTGAGAATCTTAAAAAATATTGATATTAACGGATTTATTACTGGCACATTTGCAACTTCATAGCCACATTGTGCAATTTGTTTTGACACATTTTAGCTAGATCAATTCAACGAAGTAGTATGGACGTATGGTTATGGGATCCGACACTGCGCAGTCTTCACGTCTCCAGCTGACCACAAGATGCGGAATTTTTTTTATTATCAGACACAAATAACGAATCCAATAGGGCAACTAAAAGTTAAAGCCTTCTAGCGAACAATCTTCAACCAACAAAAATGAACATGAAGAAGAAATCCTAACAAGATCAATGATAATAATAATCAATCAATGTAATAACAAAACGCTCCAAAGGTCAACTTCATGTACAAAAAGACTCATGCCAGCTAGATTCATTGTATACTCTGGTTTTTTAGCATTGCTCTCTTGTTTAAATGATCAAATGATGGAAGTTTTTATCAAATGATGGAAGCAAAAATTTTAAATCAAATTCCGACTGTAATGCATTAGTAAATATAAATAGCAATTCATACCTTGACTTGATCATGTATAGAATGTAGATTAGCCGCAAGTGCGATAAAGGATTCCTGCATCTTGCATAAAGCCACATAAATATCTGAAAACATAAAAAAGATAAATTGAAACCAAAATCATATTGAAAGTGCTATGAAATATTATCATCGTAATAAAGGTAAGAATTATTTGTACAAAATGCAAAGTAGCTATGTAGGACATTCCATTCTTGACCAACAGAAAACAATGACCCGCAACTAATCTTTCAAGACGTCAACTAAGTATATTGAATTGAATACGACATATGCATCGTGTGTCATAAGTGCACACCAAGTTGATATTTGGAAGCCGACACTACTAGTCACGTCAGGGACGTCATATTTCAGAACAAGCAATGTGATACAGTGAAAACAAATACATTTTGTACACACACAACTACGAAGGTTTGAAATGACCAAAATGTGATAAATTGACACAGCTATACGATTGATTAACTGGCTATAAAGAATCTTGACACTTCCAGCCTGCAATTTAAGAGACATGGCATGATTACAAAAATCAATCAGATCATTTTAAAAATGCATTACATGAAAAGTGAGTAATACACGACAAAAGGGCAAATACTTCAATTTGAAAAATAAATAAATAAGAAATAGCTCTTTAAGATAGTATCTGATCACAATTTGAAGTATTTTGATGAAAAGTAATACGAGTTTATTAACAACCAAAATTATACGATGTCCTGATTTTTATAATATAAATAATACATCAGCAAAGTAACCAATATGAAGGTGAAACATACCTTGTGGTGTTAAATTGATAGACTGATCGGTTAAGCTGAGATGATTTTCTAATTCTTCAATTTGTTTTCTATATATTTGCATACTTGATTCAAATTCTGATAACATGTTCATAAAAAACCTGAAATAAATAGTATGGTATGTGTACCAGTTTAGGGTTGTTCAGGTTGTGCATCATCTTGGTACGAATATTTTCGGATGTATAAATTATAAGCAAAATGCCAATAAACTTTGTTATTGAGTGAGAGATAATCTGCTGGTGTATAAAAGGGATCCATTATTTCACAATTTTTAACTGGGAAATTCGCTCGAAAGTCAGGCACACTCACTCGAAAATATAGGTGATCAATCTCTGCGCGAAGTGAGAGTGCTACTGAGACTATAAATCAATATAGCGCGAATTACGTAACAGTAATTATCGGTTGGTGCAAGAACTTAAAGCAGTTCACCAGGAAAACAGCTACAATCCAAATATTGATATTGCAAAATTTCGAAATATTCCCATATATTGAACTGATACAGCAATGAAAGAAAATCAAAAATATGATTGTGTTGTTATATTCCTCTATTAAAGCGGCCCTATTCGCCCACTTAATAGGTTGCCTAACTCTGTGTATAAATTGTGATTTTTCCATATTTTTGATATCAAAATATTTCATTTACTCACTTGATAGGAGCAATATTATCGTGTTGTAATGAAGGTGGAATATCTTGAGTATGTTTCGCTATTTAATTGTGATTTTTCCATATTTTTGATATCAAAATATTTCATTTACTCACTTGATAGGAGCAATATTATCGTGTTGTAACGAAGGTGGAATATCTTGAGTATGTTTCGCTATTTCAATGTATCGTAATTCTTCAGTAAAATCAGAACGTAACTTTTGAACTGCAGCGTTGTTCCTAGTAATAAAGCAATACATAGTGACTAACTCACAATATTTTGGTAGAATGTTTAAATCCTCACTTCAGACAACAATCTTAGAGATGAACAATTACCTATTATACCAGTTAAATGAGGTGCGAAGGACTAAGTAAAACTAAGAACAACCATGTTATTCATGGTTATGAATGGACTACAGCAGCGGTTCCCAACCTTCAATGGCTCGTGGCCCCCTTACAAGGGCTTTCACCACTTATGTCCCCCATTTATCATTCCAGAGGTAGAATCCAAATTCCACTATGTTCAAACAATTTATGCTCATTGAAGTGAAAACACCCTGTGAAATAACCTTAGCAAGCAATGAAACTACAAAAAACGAGTAATTGTTGTTTTTTGCGCGTAGCATTGTCGCCCCCCCTCCAACTGTTGTGTGGTCCCCTCGGGGTTTTTTCCAATTTAAAATCAGACAGACCCCAAGATACAACCTTTTTTCAATAGGGCCTATGCTATATGATCAATCGTAGGCTATTTCATTCCTACCTCAGCGAACGAAATATTAATTAACTCAAGTACAAAGTCTATAATAAAAAAAAAATTAAAAAAATATCAAACATAATTTAAATAACTATATACAAACAAATAAATTATTAATATTCAGTTCTACGGAGCATAATTAAAAACGAATGGTGAACCTACCTGTGCAAGGCTGATGAAACACTGCCGAGAGCATAAGAAAGTGACGAAACTTCTTCTTGTATTTTACGAAGTGATCGAATTGAAAATTTACCGATGGTGTTACTTCCTTCTTTTTGCTTCTTCACAAAATTCCTGAATGAGTAAGATAAAAATAATGAACGTATGAAAACCAAACCAATTTTGAGAAAATTATCCCAGTAACAAGTGGGAATATTACGTCAATTATTTGAAGCAGAGGTAATTGGTAATTGATGCGCCACGTTTAATAAAAAAGCAAATGGATAAAAAGATGAAGAATAAGTAAATGTATTACAGTCAAATTACTTTAAATTAACTAATTCATTATGAGTGACAGCCAGTGAAAGCTTTTGCTTGTGGCACCTACAGGACTGTTTGAACAGCCTTCTGAAGAGGGCCCAAGGGCCCATTTAAAAATACTCAATTTTAAGATTGCCTCCAAGCAACATTTGCCTTATAAAGTTGACCCAAACCACATCCGCATGTATATTATTATATTGTAATTAAAATTGTCAGCGTTACCTAAATACTCTTTTATTTAGCTTTCTTTATTAGGCTAATTAATTTCAAAGTCTGTTTGAACACATTTTAATTAAAAACGGTTATTTTAAACGGTCATACTAACTCAAAATCTTTAACATCCTTGCACAATTCATCTGGGACTTGCTGTTCCTTCAACGCTTGTCCTACGCCGTTATTTTTGTTACCATTACCGTCGCTTTGATTACTTGTGCTGGCGGTCGACGAGACACCTCCGAGTCCTCTGAAAGCAGGTGCCGATGTAGTTGCTGCGCTTGTGCCAAAAGCCGATCCTGTGGTTGATGTGGCCGTTAAACTGCCACCGGTATTCCCAAGAGATAATCCGGTGTTGCCGCCAAATAAGAAACCTGATTTTATTAATAACTATATATAGTGATAATGCCATAAAAGGATAACGTTAAATTTAAGAAATACGCAAGATCGAAAGAACAAGATATATAAGGTGTTTATAAAGTTTTAATTAATTTTCGAATTCCGAAGAGAATTTATCGATACCAAATATAGTTTGTTGGCCCCAACGAAATAAAGAACCAAAATAAAGAATGAAACTCAGATAAAAATTTTAACTATTGATTCCTGATCCAAACATTTCTGATAAAAAATTCTTTTATGGCAAATTTATCATATATTTCAAAATTTTGTCAAATATGATACAAGAGATACAGTATAAAAAGTGTATAAATTTGTTCTAATGAATGGCAATCAACATAAACAACATGCTTTAACTAGGAATTATAATTTTACTATGTTAAGTACCTGATGCTGTTGTTGCTGTAGATCCACCAAGCTTAAATCCTGAAATGTAAATTAGGATTCTTGTTTTCAAACTTCGAACATATTGTGATTTGTGGCTAGTTTGTATAAAATGTCCCAAATTGAATGTCAGTGTCTTTAACTCAGTTTTCCAATTCAACTATAACTTTATATAAATAGATACAACTTGAATCAAAATCGTGATGAATTTCAATTGTTAGTATCCTCAAAAAAATTTAAACTATCTTTTGAATGGATCAACATTTTGCACAAATTTATCATTTCGATATACAGACATTTATCGCGCAATAGAATATTGATACCTGTGGTACATACAAAGGTTGTTATCAACTCATAATTTTGGTCCATCACCACACACATAAAAAAAAATGAAGATGATGTTAATCATGCTAAAATCATTTCATTAATGAACTTAATATTATTCAAATGATTCTTTCAGTTATCATGACATTGAAAAAAATTCTTTCCAAGTTTACTGTAATCACCAACAAACTATTCAAATATTGAAAACGTTTTTTTTTCAACTTTCATAGAACAAGCAAATGATAGGTAATATACCTCCGCCAAATCCTGATCCACCCAGCCCAGTTGAAGTAGTTGTGTTAGCGGAGGCACCAAAGAGCGAGCTTGATGTTGTTTTGGCAGGTTGTGACGATGTATTTCCAAAACTGAAACCGGTGCTCGCACTCGGAGCAGATGAAGTTGTAGCATTCCCAAAACCAAAAGGCTGAACTGTACCAGTTGCTTTCGTTGTTGCCGTTGACGATCTGATTAAAAATATAAGATAAATTATATATGATTCAAAGTAAGAAGCTCACCATGGCAAATGTTGATATATGTGAAATTAAGATTTCTTTTAAATATCAACTATTCCCATTACCGACATAAACTGATTACTAGTCGGGGAGCTTGTATTTCCATATTATTATTAAGCTATATTATCGACTTTCCTCTCCCCGGGGAGAAATATAAAATTTCTATCCTGTTTCAACTTGATATTGTCAGAACAATGGAATATTTAGCGTACTCATTCTGTACCCAACTTAAGGAGCAGAAAAAAAATTTTTGCGATTTAGTTTCAGGCATCAACTTACCCAAATGAAAATCCCGGTTTCGAAGCACCCGTATTACCAAAACTGAAAGCCATTTCAGATTTCACTCTTTTACTAAAAAAAATTGACTAATTCTAAAATCGCAAAATCTGAAAAAAGGTGATATCATGATTAACAAAAAGAAGAAATAATTAGAAGAGTTAAACAGTGCAAAATAAACAGAACAACCAGGAAACCACAATTGAATTTTACAATTAAAGTTGTACAAATACAGATAGAGTAAACACAATAAGAACGAAATCAAACATAACATAACGGCAGATATGAGAAATCGAAAAATAAACAGTACCAAACTGGAAAATATTATTTACCTAACTGCTAAAAGCTACTAAACTGAACCATTCAGAATATATTTGTTGCCCAGAAGACTAGAATATTGTACAGAAATAGAAAACTCGAAAAAATCTTGAATGCTGTCTATTAAATAACGTACAGATATATATAGAGCAAACCCAAAAAACAGAAGCCATAAATTTCTTAATTACTCCAAAGAAAATGAAAAAATTCGATTAACACTTGTTGTTTGTGTATGGAATTGGAATGTATCCAAAATGTTTAATGAAATTTAGGACGCTTTGCACATGTGAACTTATTTTGTCTCTAGAATATTTTCAAATGACCCAAGTTCTTCTTTTTTGAAAGGCCAACCTGTACTATACAGAAATAAAATGCTAATGTTTTGTTAATAATACATTAGATATTGTAGTATATATATGGAAGATATTTATTATTCATATTCATTATAATAAAATGAAACATTTTCATTATATGAGACCAATTTCATATGAAATTCAAGTAAATTTCTTTTTCACAAAAGTTACAAAATAAAATTTGTGAAACTGTGACAATACCGTTTGAACGATACAAAAAAGCAGTTTTGAATTTTTCAATAGCATCCTTGCATAATTCCTATTACTCCTAACACAAAGGCAGAGAAACAGTCAGAGTTTTAATCATCAGAGTTTTTATAATACCAAACCTAATATAGACTTAAAACAACTAACACATAGAATAACTTTCTAAATCAAACTAAGCTAGATTTTATGAACACGGCACACTATTGAATCATAAAAAATACAGCACATCTCTTACAGTATATCATCGCATATTAGCAGAGTGTAAAACTCAAGAAAGAGTTGCCAAAGCAAGGGGTCGACTTAAACGTGCATAACTCTGATTGCATTCAAACGAGTGAAATTGTGCTAACTTAATTCCAACAGCTACAACTCGAACCATGCTAAGTTCTCACGATTTGTAGGTTTAGCTTTTATGGGAATTTTTATGAATTCGTTGTTTTAAGGTCGTTTTCAGGGGTCGGCTTATATGCGAGGATATGCAGTAATTCAATCTGATCTAAAAATGCTTCAAACTGAAAAATATTTACAAAACACAAAAATATGCAATAAAGAACATTCATGAAACTTTAATATAAATTGGTATAAAGCTTCCATATAAGTTAGATAATACTGGGCACAGGACAGGAACTTTCTGTAGCTTCCCATAATCGTTTATTTACAATATGACTGGAATTGTACCATAAAAATGAAAGCACTGATTACTGAATAATGAAGCAATGAAAAAAAAAAATTAACCTAAGGTGACATATACCGATTAAAATACCGCATAATTGGCATAAAAACATCTTTTTAACAGGGTTTTTGAAAGGAGTAGCGTACCATGTATAAATTTTTATAGTAAATGAAGCATGATAATCTGAAAATGGGTTTTGGAAAGATATTCATTGCTAACAAATGTTTCAACAATTTTCAGTCAGAAAACGTGAAAAATTATGAAAAAAACAATTATATGAAAAAAAAAACTCAAATTGAAGAAAACTTTCAAGAAGGTAAATAACTTGAGGCGGGATACGTTTTTTTATCCTATATAAATGCTGAACCAATGTATTGTTTCCAATTCAATATTTCAACTATTACAAAAGATAGACCAGATAAATTGAGAATAAATAAGAATGAAAAATAGCTGGAATTCTAAATCTGAGACAAACAAATGTCTATTATTAATATAACAGTAACAAAATTATCCCTGAGAATTTAATCACTATATCAAGTGAAACATATTATTAAGGTTCACTATACAAAGCTTATTTAAAACCACTCATTGAAATGTTTTTTACATTCTATAACTGTTATTTAAAAAAAAATTTGATGAAGAAAAATACTAGCAGTAAAAGTTTATTAAGGACCAATGTTTAGGCTATTTAAAATACCATAGTGAAAAATTTGAATATAAATTGATGATCATTTACAGAGATGATTTTGTCAAATATGCAGAATTATACTATCTTATACAAGCAAGCCGTCAATATCTAACGACTTAACGAGCTACTATTATTTTGAATGACTTATCCAATTTACCACACTGGGTGAAGTGGGGTACACAGGGTTTGAACACAAGATGTGTAATCTACAATGCCAACACATGAGTCTAATACTTCAGCTGCTACACCATCATGCTGGTATTATAAAAATGAAGTTCAGTGCAGAGTTTTGGAACATTCTGTATGAATATCCCTGCTTGTGACATGTTTATAACAAAATTAAGAATCTTGAGGTCTGTACTTAATCTATCTGCCTAATGTGCATATAAAACAATGTTTCCCACTATGAAGAATCATCAGATAATTCTAGATGAAAAGTGGTTGAATCTGTGGCATTTACATTATTATAATGAGTACCAGATATGCTGCCATCCTCCGATTCAACGTCAACTTGGGAAGAAAATTTTTTTTCTTTTGGGATCAAAAATAAAACTGCTGATCCCATTAAAACATGCCACATGCTGTGTACATAAAAATAATTATCTGGATCCTCAACAAATACAAATAATACAAAACCTAAAATGGCACATAATGCTCCTGGTATGAATGAAAACAACCAGACACGTTTTGCTGGATAGCAAGTATGTGAAGCCTTACATTGCCTTCCCCACCTAATTGCAAGTATAAACAGTCCACACAGCACTGGAACTAACGTAGTAAAAACACTGAATCTGTTATCTGTAACACCAACGCTAATTGCCATCAACCCCGCAATATGAAAACATGATTCAAGGATAAAAGGAAGCCGGCAAATCGCAATCAAAGTTACCCACATCGCTGAAATAGATCCCAAAAAATCGGAAAACTGTAAAGTATTGTATGGCATGATACATACAGAAGCTGCAAAATCATTATCACAAGCATGATAGAATGTTGAAAAAAACATAACAAAAAAGTAAACTATCGACTCTGAGTAAAATCCTTTCATAATTGCCAGTACGCCACAAGGAAAAAATATTATATTACTTAGAGTAAGCAAGAGTACAACAAGTAGTTGTTTGCTTCGAGGTACTGCATTTGTACCATCAGTGCAAGCAATGCCTTGCCAACCTCCTCTACAATCACAAGCCGAGAAAAATAAGATATCAGTGCGGTAAATTTTGCATTCACCTTGAGATGTACCAGAATGACATGAATCAATGCACTGAACGATATTTGTATCGAGATTTATATTGATATCAGTATTATCACAATCTCCTTCGATGCATTCAATTCCAACATCTAGAGCCCACAGACCACCTTTTGGAAACGGCCAGTACCATATATCATAAGCATCTTGTGATGAATTTACAATTAAACTGTGCCCGTTTTCACATGTATCGTAAGTGAATGGTGTATCGCTGTTCCATGTCGCACATCCACGTAACAAAATTGTATCGTTTTTTGATAATAAAGATGAGTTAAAACTAAGTTTTATTCTTAAAGTACCACCAACATCAGAATAAGGTTGTACGATCCAGCTGAATTTTAACGATTTATTTGTACTTATATTGTACCCTTCTTTTGACGTAATGTAATCTGTATTCAGTAGGCCGTTTCTGTACCGATCTAAGAATATATTATTTTCATATTGATTTGTATCCAGTGTATCAAAATAATTCTCACTTGTCATGACGGCTATATCCAATGGAAGATCGCTATATGCTTTGATGATGAGTTGAACTATGTATTTGCATTCATTCGGTATTTCAATTCCGCTTTGAACAGGTTTTTCGATAAAAACAGAAATGTAAAATTCTCCTGTTGTATTCCCTTCATCAGAGAAAATCATGATGTATTCGTCGTGTCGGTTTGGAAGGGATTGGGTTATACGAAACCCCCCAATAGCTGTTTCGTTCAAATTCAGCCATGTGTTATCTGGGTATGTAGCACCCGTGGGGTTGGGGACCGGTAAACCCCACTTTCGCACCAAAACCATGATTTTTACATGGGGGCATGATTCAGGTGAACTAGAACCAGTGTTCTCAATACCGCCCGTCCATTCAAATGAAAAATTAGGAAGGTACGAAGCAGGAATAGGTGCATATATTACTTCTTGACTACCAACGTCAGAGTATTCAGAAAGCGCTAACGGCCCAAATTTCAGAACAGTTTGACTTGTAATGTTTTTGCTGATAACACAATGTATTCCATTAATTAGTACCAAGAATACAATGTTTAATAACATAACTGTTAGCAGATAACTGTAAAAAAAATATTTTGAAATTTATGAAAGGCAGAAAAGAAAGGGTAATATTTTGAAATTTATGAAAGGCAGAAAAGAAAGGGTGTTGGTGTGCTAATTTGGTATGCGATCTCAATGCAGCAATGATTGTGTGATCTCAGTGATTTTACTTGGGTTAGGAACGGAATTCTACCAGAAACTCTTCATGCAATTGAGATCATGTTGAGTGAGATGCCATACCAAGGTGCCAACTATAAATGGGGTCTTGTGTAGTTTCGTACCAAACGTACTCCTAGTGGGCTTAGCATAAATTTTTTTCAATATATGTCAATCCTAACCCCCATATGACTACGCCATCTAAAAATTAGATCACTACGTCATCACAATCACGTCATAGAGCTTGCCAAATATACGTACGATCGCCCGAAATGGCATTGGCGCCGTCGATAAAGAACTGACTCACATTATCAATCTCTCTCCTATTGGAATCGTTGCGACGAGAAAATATCTGTTCGATTTCGGGTGCTCGTTTGCGCGTCTTGGATGGCAGTTTGTATAGTTTGAAGGGCTCTATTACGTCACTGTGGCGTCGTAACGACGTAATTTTTGGATGGTGTAGTCAGGTGGGGGTTAGAATTGATACGTGAAAAATATGTCATGCTACGCCTACTAGAAGTAGACTATGTTAGGTACGAAACTACACGAGACCCTTATAAATGTTATATTACATATTACCTCATTACTATAGCACTGCCCAGCATACTGACATAAGAAACAAATACCTATAAGTAAATTTAGTGTCAAATATTTTTAGATAGATATTCTGCCATTGGTACACATTTCAATATGAAATATAATGCACAATCACTCAAGTCAAGAAGTAGGACAAAATTAAATATAAAATATCATATCCAAAATGGACTGGTAATCGGACGTGCTTCGTAAAATAATACAACGTAGTCGTAGTCTGCATTGAGTTCAAATTCATAAATCAAAACAAATAAATTTAATTGTCACATGACATTACTGCATTACGAACCCTGACAAATCGCCCTCATCTGACCCAATCGCTGAAGTTTTACGTATTTACTGAACAATAAAATATTTGCTTCACAGTCTAAACATTGCCTGAATAAATGCGCCATGGCAATACAAAAGATAAAAAATGAAGGTTTGATAAATTAAACCAGTTTGTAGGCGCCAACGCTCGAAGTCGCTCTTAATAAAAGCACGAACAATTTTGCAATAAAAAAAATAAGGAAAGAATTTACCGGGGGTCAAAGATCGGGAAACATCCAGTTCAGTTATATAATTTTTATTTTCTCTTTCTTTTTATTTTCTGATCTGGTATGCATTCAGTCACTCTTAATTTCACTCAGTTATTCATTATTACTTATCTCCATTTATATTTTAAGTAAACGCACCTTTTATCGGACTTACTATCTTTTACAAACCCGTAAAATACAAAAACCAACCCTGCAGGAACGACAGTAAGCATAAGCTTCGAATGATAGCACGCTACAGGCAGCGCTATTTTCGTATTTTGCACTTGGTCTTGGTCTCTAATGGAAATGTCAAAAAGTGGTGGAGAGGGATAACAATCTACATCAGACAACCTTTTGTCGCTCGCGGGTCAAAATTATGAGTTGCAGGACTTGGCGGGCCGCACATATTTTATGCAAGTTAAAAACCGAACGGATGGCCGATGAATCAACAATTTTTCACACAGATAAGAAGTTTATTAAGCAGCACGCGAAGACTGCGACAATTTGTGAACTCAACTTAGTCGTCTTACATGAACAAGGAAAAAAAAAATTACAAATGACATTTAATGCGACACTTTTTGTTGCAGCACGCTTGATATGATTTCGATATCAGGCGGCACGGGACACTGGATGGAGCCAAGATTTAAACATTTTCTAAAATGGGAATCACCAATTCGAGTTCTCAGCTTGTTCTTTGTAATGTTCATTCGTGAAATTTTTTCGAATGGTTTGTCAAATCTAGCTGTGATAGACTAGGCTAAAGTTCTTCACCGGTAATTTCCAACTCGCCAATCTATTATTGAAATAAGCACCGAAAATTTTACAATAGTGAAATATGGAAGAATTTCCCGGGGGTCAAAAGTCGGGGAAAGGTCCATTAAATTATAAGCTAATTGTGAATTATATACTTGTTGGGCTATATTATAAGTTAGTCTATACGTGTATCCCAATAAATGATGTTACGTAAAGAATATATGCGGTAAAACAGTCGGTTCGTTACTATAATTCAGTGAAGCGTCGCGGGCCGGATTATTTTACTCCGCGGGCCGTAGGTTGCCGACCCCTGATCTACATCACCAGAGGGGTGTAACATACGGCCTGTGGGTCACTGTCCGGTCCGCGGAGCCAATTTACGTGCTCCGTAAGAGTAGACTTACCATAGGTCTCGGTTTAGTTGGGAGAGTCCCGATTTCAGCAAGTTGGTTTAGTCGGTAGACCTAAATCTCCCGGTTATGCACTATGAGTCACAAATATAGCTTACTTTTGTGCCCGTAATCTATCCACAATGGTATGTAAAACGTTTAAACTATAACTAAGTCTTGTCTAATCCACACTGTCCCTGTTTTTTTGCTTCAGACATATGGCAAGCCTACGTAAGTGATCTATCCCATTATTTTATAATGCTTTTTCTCATTGTAACGAAACTATCGGTGTTTTTGAAGTTTAAATTACCATGTTTACGTCACACTGGAATGACTATGCTTCTAACAAGATTTTAATAATGTGATATTTTTTATTGGTGCCTTGTTGTGATTAAAAAAGGTGAAATTTCTACCAGTAAAAAGCAAGGTTGATTATGAATAGCTCGACATTGAGTGGTGTCTGAAATATATTATAAACACAATCAGGATGTAGTTATCGTAATGTGTCAGAACAGGCAACAATATTGAGAAACACTCCCATCAATTACGAAAGCAATGTGGATCAATTACGGTTCGAAAATATTCATCGAAAAGTGTCTTTCGAGAAGAAATATTTAGTAAAGCAGCACCCTGTCGAATATCTCCCGGAAAATATCAAATTAGAACAAAATTACGAGCAATCGAAATTATTAGCATATTGTTACAGGAGCTATGTATATGGACATTACACAAATTTGAAAAAAAATCATACACAAGAAATGGTTTTTTCTTCCAGCAAAACGTAGCCTATTACCATGAGAATGTTATCATGACGCCGTGGAAGACAAAATGCAGCATACAACTTACAAATGAGCACTTGTTAGCTCAACTTAAAGCCTAGTAAGTTCTTAAATGGTCCGGCCCTCGGCGTCACCAGAAATTTGCAAAAAAAATTGAAAAAAGATGAACCAATAGCATGTAACTGAATATCGAAAGAAGCATTAATATCGGCACTCTAAACTCCGCCATGGTAGAATATACTTGTTCTGTCCACACATAATGGAACTCCATAAGCTATTCACATATATTTTCATGTAGTACTGTGTAATCAATCAATTTTATAATGTCGTGCTTGAAGTGCTGCTAAATTGCCATTCCAATGCTTGTTCTGTGCACTTACTATCAAATTTATATATATCTTCATCCAATCAAATTAAAAATGAGAATTTTTTTTTTAATACTGTTATGAGTATAACATTCATTTCTAGACTTGCAAAGTTTATCAACCTAAAATCCTCTTTTTCTTTGCATTCATTATTGGTGGTTTTTCTAATGAAGATATTTAATTCATCCTATATACCAAACTTTCATCCACAAAAATAAATTCAATGAATTTGAAAATTTATATGGTTAATTCCCCTATCCTGTTTCTGATCAGATTATTTCTGTATATAATGTATATAGTTTTTTTATTATATATATACTGAATGTTCATATTGTAACAGAACCCGTTTCAATTTATTTATTCAAGTATTTGAATTGGGTGGTAACTGACTCTGATGACCGTATATGGTCGTATCGTTATCACCCAGTCATATACCGAAAACGGCATTATATGTTGTTACTTATCGATATCGATCGTAAGTATGTTGATAGGTATTTGTCTGTTTGTTTGTTTCACTTTCGTATGTTACGCGATATCACGAAACCAAAGTTGGATATGCTCCAAATTTTGTATGTGCATTTATCATATCTCGGACCACAACTCTATTGATTTTGGATGAATTATATCGAATAATTAGCGAGTTATTGATTAATTAGTGATGGGACACGCGGTGTTGCTATTGAGTCAGAGCGAAGGAATCGAAATTACACTATCCCATCCAAATGATGCACAAGAGAGCGAGAGAGATATTTCCATAAAACAATGTTCAAAAAAGACAATATGACAGATTTTTATTTTAATATAGTGCAGTAAACACTTTAAACACTGAATTGTGTAGGCCAGTATGCAAGACCGTCCCAGGTCATCGAGGCTCCTGAACATTTTATTTACACTGTGCTCAATCTTTTAGAATGGATTGTGAGTCCCCCAATGTTCCCTCTAATTTTTTGTAGTATGTGTGCGCAGAAATTTTGGTGTGTGCGCACTTTTTTGGAAATGACTAATATTTGTGCAAAAACCAATGAAGAAATTTTGGCGTTCTAACCGGGTAATGGGTGGGCCAACAACAAACTTTCTCAACCTGCCAACCGAGAACATTGTTACATTACATCGAAATACGTCTATGCGCAGTAAATCTATGCGTGTGCGCAGCCTCTGAAAGTTGTGTGCGCGAGCACACGCGCACACCTTAGAGGGAACACTATGGTGGCCCATCGTTGTCACGCGTAAAATTGAAAATAAAATAAGAAACCGATAATAAAAAAATTGTTGTGAAAAAACATAAAAATAATTGAAAAAAAAAATTAAAATTAAAAAAAAAAAATTAAAAATAAAAACGAAAAAAGGAGAATGGAAAAAAAAATTTTGAAAAAAAAAAAAAAAATTGAATAAAAAGAAAATAAAAAGGTTGACAACGATGGTCCGCCTCGTGGCCCATCATTGTCACGCGTTTTTATTTTAAGGAAAATTTGGTTCTGCTCGGGACCAACGTTGTCAGGCATAATCCTACGCGCACAAATGTGTTCCCTGGGTTTCCAACTCACTACTGATTTTCTTGAGCAATATTCAATATGAAAGTGTTCTATAAATTCTCCATGCTACAAGTTCAACAAGAAGTAATATATTTATAATAATGATAAGAGAATATAGAATTGAATACGAAAGTTCGGAAAATTTGTTTTTACGTGTAGAAGGTAATTTAATTGGAGAATACTGTTTAACTACTCAGTTGTCTGGGCACTCGCGATGCCGGTACCGTACCGTCTTACCAAATACCGGTAGTCGGTTATAGTCGTTTTGCGTCTGACCGTACCGGTAGCCATGCAATCACTCATTAACGAATGGGAGATACGGATAGTCTCGTAGAATATAGACTACTGAGACACTCTCTGCGCCTGCCCCATACCCTACAGCCGTAACGTACCGATCCAGACAAATGATAAATCGCCCGTGCTCAACCATTTATTTCAATCCATAGGCCTACCTCAATCCTAGTAGAATATAGTGAGTCGAGGTATGGATTGAAATAAATGGTTGAGCACTTACCGGTACTTACGGCTGTACGGTATGGGGCAGGCGCAGAGAGTGTTTCAGTAGTCTATATTCTACGAGACTATCCGTATCTCCCATTCTTTCATGAGTGATTGCATGGGTACCGGTACGGTCAGACGGTACCGTACCGGCATCGCACGAGTGTGCAGACAACTGAGCAGTTAAGCAGCATTTTCCAATTAAATTACCTTCTACACGTAAAAACAAATTTTCGTATTCAATTCTATATTCTCTTAACATTATTATAAATATATTGCTTGTGGTTGAACTTGTAGCATGGAGAATTTATAGAACATTTTCATGTTGAATTTATTGAATATTGCTCATGAAATAGTAGTGAGTTAGAAACCCAGGAAACACATTTGTGCGTGTAGGATTATCCCTGACAACGTTGGTCCCAAGCAGCATCAAATTTTCTAAAAAAAAAAACGCGTGACAACGATGGGCCACGAGGCGGAACATCGTTGTCAACCTTTTTATTTTCTTTTTTATCCAATTTTTTTTTTAATTTTTTTATTTTTTTTTGGTTTTTTTTTTCGTTTTTTTTTTAATTTTAATTTTTTTTTTTCATTTCTTTTTTTTCAATTATTTTTATGTTTTTTCACAACTATTTTTTTATTTTCGCTTTTTCATTTTTTTTTTTTATTCATTTTTTTTTTAAATTTTACGCGTGACAACGATGGGCCACCATAGAACACTGATTGTGACAATATAAAATAAAATGACAGGCAGATAATTTGTTTTCTACTAGTCGACACTTCATATCTGGTTCATTGTAGAGTTCAGAGGGCATGTGTAAAATTATATATTTCTACACTGCATGCAGCACTGTGATCTAGTTCTAGTATACAGATTCAACCAGCATGAAAAGAATACCAACAATAGATTACACTAATATTAAGGTAAGACAATTATTAATGGTATAAGCTAATTAATATCATTTAACTTCTCTAATATATATATATATATAGTCTGTGATCTAGTACAATACTGATCTATACATAAATATTTATATATATATGGTCTATACATAAAATATGGACGATTAAATATATTCATATGAAATCACATGGAAGACGTGTGTAAAGCTCTCAAAGAACTATCAGTTGTTCCCGCATTACTCATACCGCCGCGGTATGGGTAAGCAAAATCCAATACCGTCACTCCATCTCCAGAGACCACATTCTTCACGAGCATAATTTTCGTGATGATTCGAAGAATTTACAAACGCGATTGTTTATACAGGCCCTACTCGGAATTGTTTTGATTCAAATATGTCTGCTTCTCTCAAGTTTTATTCAGGCAGCTATTCCGTCTTATCCAACCGCAGACTAATCCGTTTATTAAATCTTATTTTCATTAATGGTTATAAAGTGCATTTCAACATACCAGAGGTTTCATAAAGCGAGGCAAAATCTGCTGAACAAATCATATTTATTAGCTTAATAACATTGGAAGCCGATTTTCACGACTTAACCTCGTGCCAAAAGTAATAAACTTTTGAAGAATCATAATGGTTATTCAAATACGTCTCGTATTGCACGCCAATATTCATTTTATAATTTTCGTTTGTTGGACGATAATTTACGAATTAATAAATCCAACAATGCAATAAACCCAACAAAACAGAAGCATGTCGAAATACCATAATATCGCTCCAGTGATACAATTTTGCAACAAGCCATACAGTATTTTTGGGCAAACATTTGTAACTTTTAGTCTGCTTCGTTAACATTTTCAAGTCATTCTGATGTGGCCACCAGTTGTGGAATTCAGCCGGTTCGCACCGGTTCTATATGCCCGTCTAACAGAATTTTATGAGATCAGCGAACCGGTTAGCATTATTGGTTACTGTCAATAATTTTTTGTAACAGAACCGTTTGAAAAATATGACTTTTGTGATGAAACCGGTTGACAAAAAAATTGAACCCCACCACTGGTTACAACTACTATTAACTAACTAGTTACAGAACAAGATACTAATGCGACTCAGAAATATAGTAAATACTATAGGTTTTGCTGTTAACGTAATATAACAGTAAGGACCATAAGAATGCCTCTATTAATTTTATTATCTCCGATATTAATTTTACAATACAATCGAGTCACATAAACAAAACACATGTGTCTAACTTATTTTTGTTGCCAAATGAATCTTGTTAACTAATAATAGATTTGTTTTTGAGAATTACCTTAATAATGAACGCACAAACACTTCATATTACTCGTTAAAATAACTTCTCTCTTTTCATATCAAAAACCATTCGTCTTCGCGGAGCAGGGTTTTGTCTCGGCTTCATTATTGCAGAACAATCCGCATGATAAAAATCCATGTAAAATAAGATAGGCCTAAATCATGTATACTGCTAATCATAACATATGAATTGTTTAATTTTGTTACATCTGATGGCGAAAGCCACGATTCGATCAATATCTATGGCGTCAAAAACAATTTTTATTGCTGATGTTAAATACCTAAATTCATCTGTTAATTTGTTACACCTTTTGCACGGATTTTCACTAAATTAATATAGTAATGAAGTCTTCTTTAGATTGGGCCAACATCTTACGTGTCGTCATCTGTATTGAATTCGATCACTTCCTTGGTCCTTATATATTGTTGCCGGCGATATTAGCGGTTTGAGTACGAAGTCTTTATTGTGTGTTCCTTAGGCTATTTGGTAAAAACGCGAATGTTATAATAATATATTTATGCGTTTATGAACATTTTTTCGTTGGTTTTCCATGTATAAATATATATATGTTCCGATGATCCGTGCATTTTTAGACATAAATGTGCCGAAATTATGTGGGTTTGTACGATTGTTGCGTTTTTGTCAATTCAGTTAGTTTTTGGTCAGCATAGATTTTTCAATCAGTGCCTAGCCAGACGAGCAAACTGTTTTTATCAAACTGTTTTTCCGTCCTTGGATGGAACCTGTAACAACTTGAATAATCCTACATGGGGTGCTAGTAATATAGTATTAAATCGTTTGTTGCCACCAAAATATGCCGATTCTAGAGGACAACCGAAGTCACAAGGTGTTTTTCGCAATCTTACATCTACAAGAAGTATATCCAATGGACTGGTAGAATCTAAAAAGTTCATTTCTAAGAGTGTATCTCATATGCACGTATTGTATGGACAGTTGCTGGCTCATGATTTAGTACTTACGCCTATGGTAAAAGGCAATGACGGTAGCGACTTAGAATGCGACTGCGATAAACCTGTCTCAGATTGTGTAAACATAAAAATTCCCCCTAGCGATATTCAATCGCAAAAGGCTAACAGAAAATGTATGCCCCTGGCTCGATCAAAAGCTGCATCTGGCATCGATGGATGCGTATTTCCTCATCGCGAACAGATAAATGAATTGTCAAGTTACATCGACGGTACTTTTATTTACGGGAGCTCAGACCGGATTGCAAAAGAACTAAGAGATCCGAGGTCAAATGCAGGTGAATTAGCAACTGTATTGAATCCAGTTAGTGTGCCTCATCGCAATCTACCGAATCAAGACCAATTAAAAAATAAAGAGATTTCCAAAATTGTTCATTGCCCGATAAAAGTTCATACGCCTAAAAATATTCCATGCTTCGTAGCCGGGGATGTTAGAGCAAACGAGAATCCAGGACTTACTTCCCTACTCACAATAATGGTTCGATATCACAACTATGTTGCAAGAAATCTCAAGTCCATTAACAAAGCATGGCCTAGTGACAAAGTGTTCAACGTCGCTCGACGTATTGTATCTGCTATTTATCAATCAATCACATACCGAGAATATATTTCTCTGCTGGTGGGGCCATTGTGGTCAAAGCGGTTTAATTTGAAGTTAACAGACGATTATGGGTATTGGAACGGATACGATCCGCGGTATAATTCAGGTATAACAAATGAATTTGCAACGGCAGCTTTTCGGTACGGCCACAGTCAAGTTACTGACATATTAACCCGCAGGGATTCTTTTTTCAATCCTGGTAATATACCAAACGTTCCATCTAGAGGCACATTTTTCACAAGTGACTCACTCCTGGAAAGGGAAGGAGGGGGATCTGGCGCATATTTACGCGGATTTATGGTTGATCATGCGGAGAAAACTGACACCAGTGTAGACGATGCCTTACGCAATCAACTGAACACAAAAATTGGAGACAAATTTGGTGGAGATCTCTTTGCAATTAACTTGCAACGAGGACGAGATCATGGTTTACCAGGCTACAATGAATACAGGGAATTGTGCGGTCTAACCAAAGCAAAGGTTTTCGGCGATTTCTCAAATGAAATACCCACGGATATTATTAATCGACTAAGACTCGTTTATGACTCAGTTGAGGATATTGACCTTTATGTAGGAGGATTGGCTGAAAATGTAGTGAACGGAGGAGAGGTCGGACCAACATTTGCCTGCATATTGGCTTACGGATTTCGCGCGTTGAGAAAGGGAGATCGCTTTTGGCACGAAAACGAACGTTCTCCTTCTCCTTTTACAACTAAACAACTCTTTTCAATTCGAAAGACAACTTTAGCAAGTATCTTATGTGAAGTTAGCGAAGACATGAAGTTTGTGCTGAAGTCACCTATGAAAATAATCAACGCAAATTACAATAGATTTGTCAGTTGCAGCAGCGTTTACGATTTAGATTTTAATGCGTGGAAAGATGATCATCAAAAAAATACGTACAGCAGAAAATCTCACGCTAACTCAGAGTGGACAACTTGGTTTATCACAAAGTTTACAAATATTAGATTTGTTGATTGGCGACAAGCAGCGTCACAAGTATCAAGATCAAGGCCTGAAGACATATGCGAAAAAAGACTTGGGTTCGAAACTCGAACTGTGCCTAGGAGCAGTTTTATACAAATCCGGTTTACCTGCCCAGCTGGTTCAATACGATCTTCAGATTTTCCTTTCCAATTATCACAAAATTATTATTGGTCAGAATGGATTCACCCTCGCGACAATTCGGTCGAAATATATGAATTTGAATGTAAAACGATTGTTGCAATTCAGGCAAAGTCGGGCGGCAAATTTGCTGGCGAAACTGGTGATGTGTTTGAGAAATTTGGAACTGAAGCGGGTTTCCTATGTCGAGATAACGATCAATACAATGGAAAATGCCAAAAATACCAAGTTCGTGCTCTCTGTCTCAGAAATAATAAAATGGGGGAAGAACATTTCCAGAAACATTTTACAACCAAACAATCAGTTACTTTGTATCCCCAGTCTACCATGCCGACTAAGCATCTCTACCCCGAGCCTACTTTTAAAGATGTTCCGAAAAAGGCTTTGGATAGGGCAAATTCGTACTGTGTGGCGTACAATGTGTGCTGTATCCCTCCTAGACGTCACCATCTAAAGAACTCGTCAAACCGTGTTTTGACATACGCCGCGAATTTGTGCAAATATTATGGTATCTGTTGCAACCCTTAACGTGTGTGTGATACTATTTAATTTTGCTAGGTTCTAATTAATTTATTCCGATTAAATATTTATACAAGCATATGCTTTAACTCCACCGAGAAGCTATTTTAAATACCAAGTTCAATTATCGTTACTTTCTGGTTTTGTGTACTTAATCGATTTGTTGCATTTTGACTGAAATTATGGGCAAGGGCTGGTCGCAGGACCGGATCCACCAACATGCAAAGCAGTCTAAGGCCTCGGATTCTCTAGGTTGGAAAATAATGGCTTCGACATTCAACTTTGAACCATCGTTCAGTTTTAACCGGTTATACAATTTTAAAAGCAAAGTTTGCATTTTTAACCAGGTGAATTATATATGGATTTCTTCGTTGCAAATATTCCCGATAATATAGGTAAAATAGTTCGTGGTTAAGAAATAAAAAGGTTTGTACACGCAAATCTGAATGTTATGTCGTGAACTCGAAGAAAAGACGGTGTTTGCAGGTATTCAAAATGTATTACAGAAACACACAGTCATAGACTTGAGCATTAACAAAAGAAGGGCGAGAGAGAAAACCAAGGTCACTCAAGCATGAAATAATGCGAGCCATAATACAGTTTACCACTCGTTGACCACACTAAACTAGCGTTTCCCAAACTTTTTCGGCCACGGAACACTTACACTTTTATCTCGCTTCGCGGAACACCAAAAAATGAAAGTGTGTAATTGATAAAAAAAAAACGGTGCTGATATGATACCGTTCCCAGTGGGGTCTCGTAGCGAGTTACCAAATGAGCCGTGAAAACTAACAGAATTGTGTTAAATATACTCAAAATATGATTTAATAATTTACATATTGCGTTTACTATAAATGTTTTATTGTTTTTTAATTTAAATGCTGAGTTAATGAATCATTTAATTCATTTTACCATTCTTTGTCGGTGGCTTTCCATTACGTAGTGTTTGCCTCTAATGGAGATAGAAATACAATTTCGAGCTGCAGACCTGTAGTTTATTTATCTGCTGAACAGAGTTTAGTGAAAATGAGAAGTTTTTTCAGCATTTCAAAATTAAACCAGGTGGAGATGAAGAAAGAAGAGTTGACTTTTTGCCTTTATTCTTCAGACCTACTTGTTTGCCTACTTGTTAACAGTCAACAAGTAAACAGTTAACGAAAATGCCACTATCCCACACTAGTTAGTCCACTTTAGGCCGCCGGTGACGCGATATCGAACTGTCAGTTGGGACTGTCAGTCCAGAGATCGTCATGGCGAACATTTTAGACGTATTTTTGATTCCTTTTCCACTGAACACTTCGAAAACGCTTGCAAAACCCTTCGAAGACGCCCGCGGAACACAGTTTGGTAAACGCTGCACTAAACCAATGAAACAAGTTATCTCAGTTGTGAATTCCAGTGCTAGACAATGAAAATATTAAGTTAGGTGTTGTATAAGATAACCCGCTTGCTAATATCTGCTGAAGATTGTATATATCAATTTATTCGAGTTTTGGATATGAGCCATGAAGTTATGTAGTAAATAATGGATTGAATTATATATTTCTTTGTATACTGATGCGATAAACAAGCGTAAGTATAGGGCAAGTCAATACAAACAGAACACGCACGTATAAGACGTTTTTATAGATAAAATCTTGTTAAAATATGTTCGTCATGTTCGTCAATTTGATCTGATCTGAGAGATCTGACATATTCTGTGTTTATCAAATTCATAAATAAAATAAAAAGTTTTCCATATTGTTGACAACTGCGAATATTATTAACGAGGTTTCCTTTAAAGAAAAGAAATATCAAAAATATCAATAAATGGTTTGATAAGGAACTCTTAAAAAGGCAGAAAAAAAGTATAAACTATACAAAAACTATCTAACTGAAAAATCAGAGCGGACCAAATTCAAACATTCAGAATGCAAGAAAAAATATGAGAAATTGATAACTGCTAAAAACAAAATTATTACAAGTCATTACTAGGCAGACATCGTGATGATCTTAAGACAACTTGGCGTACTATGAACGATCTGCTTGGGCGTTCTAAACCGAATCTGACAAAAGTATTTTCTATTAATGGCCAGGAAACCTCGAATCCAGTCAAATAGCAGATCATTTTAACTCGTACTTTTCTACAATTGGAAATAAAATGATCGAACAGTTTAATCATACTAGAAGGGATGGCTTTAAGCAATATATGGGTCATCCCAGTAAAACTTCCATGTTCCTTGACTGACAACAGCTTTCGAAGTCCAAAATATTATGAAATCATTTCGACCCAAAACCAGTTGTGGATAGATGGAATTTTCTTTAAAGTTATACAAATGATGCCCTGGAATAGTATTTGTGCCTTCACACATATCTTTAACCGCTCCTTACAATCTGGTAAATACATACCCCAGTTCGAATTACCCAAAGTTATGCCATTGTTTAAAAAAAGGAAATGCAAAGGATGTAAAAAACTACCGACCGATCAGCTTACTGCCCGCATTTTCCAAAATTCTAGAAAAAAATTATGTACAAGAGACTCAACCATTTCCTAGACCAAAAAAATTTCTCTTATTCCCAGCAATTTGGCTTTCGCCAAAATAACTCAACATGTCATGCAACATCTTTACTTGTCAGTAAAATTTTAGAAGGATTTGATAAGAATGAGTATACTCTTGTTATGTTCTTGAACCTTTCCAAGGCATTTGAAATTGACCATGACATCTTACTAGCCAAATTGCATCATATTGGCGTTAGAGGTCAGAGTTATAATTGGTTTAAAAGCTACTTATTATGAAGGAAACAAGTAGTAATACACAATGATGTAGAATCTAACACATACTGTCATTTGACTGTAGACACTTTACAAGGATCTATTTTGGCTTCATTATGTTTTTCAATCTTTATTAACGACTTTCCGAATGCTTTTTTTCACTTTGATATCATACTTTTTGCTGATGACTCAACGTCATATCTTCGAGGCAAAGACTTGACTGAACTTTTGACCAAAGCAAATATTGACTTTGAAAATATTCAAGCTTGATTGTCTGCAAACAAACTCACTATTATTGTGAATAAAACTAAAAACATGGTATTTAGCGCGCCAAAGCAAAAGTGTCCAACACCGCAATAAAATTTGGAATTAAATGGAATAAATATAGAAAGGGTTAACCGGACTCGCTTTCTGGGTGTAATAATCGATGATAAATTGTCTTGGTAACAACACACCAATATGGTTCTATCGAAAACGAGATCGTCTTTTAGTGCCATTACGAAAATAGCCAACAATTTGAATGCATCTTGTTTAAGATGTATACATCTATACCACTCACCACTAAGAATACACTAAGAATACATCTATACCACTCTCTGATAGAAAGCCATATTTGATATTGAGCCTCAACGTATGTTCATCGCCAATCATCCATTCTCAGAAAAATTCAAAGTGTTTGCAATCGTTTTATTAAAAGAGTTTCTCATAGAGGTAATCGCGAAAAAAATTGATAGCTTATTTGAAGAGCATAGGCTACTACGAGTTGTGGATTAGGCTAAATTCGAAATGTGTACTATGATGTTCTCTTGCTACATTGGAGAACTTCCGTCCAGCCTGTTCCGAGCAAACCCAAATTCAAACAGCAGAAACAAAGATAAGTTTTTTTATTTCATATGTCAGTAAAAGTATTTCACAAGAATCAATTGCAGTATGTGGACCAAAAGCTTGTAATTCCCTACCTAATGCCATCAAAAAGTCATCAAACGGTAGTGGACATAACGATCGTTTCAATATTATGTTGTTGTTATCACCATCATTATAAAATTGCTTTTCTCTTCGAATACTGGACCAATTGCTTTCAAATTTTCAGTGGGTAAAGTTTGATTTTTTTTCCAGGAGGGTATTACTTTTATTTATTCCTAAATTTTCTATGAAATCTTATATTTCATTCAAAATTTCTTTGTTCTAAAATTGGGGCTCCCGAAGTATGCGAACCAAGATGGCGGACATCGGAATGTAATATGTGTACTAGGTTAGTGTAAGGCCATAATTTTAGGTATAAATACTACGGGGGGCTCTTGGCTAGTCTTCGAACTGATAATAGGACTAAAATAAGGAAAATTGAAAAAAAAATTATCGCATAACCCTAACCTGTTACCCATGTTACGTTCCAATGTCCGCCATCTTGGTTCGCATACTTCGGGAGCACCCTAAAATTTACTCATGGGAACACTGTTTTGAAACTTATTTCAAGCGGTTGCGTGATCAAGCCTGAAGGTTTTCTAGCAAATCTAGCTTACCGTATTTGTTCATTTTGATAAAAAGCAAATTGAGTTGAGTTTTTATATGCCAGAGAAGAACCGTTTCACGATTGAATAGCAGGCCCACATACAGCAACAGGTACTGGTAAGGTACGGTACGGCACTGAATTACGCTCTCATCTTTTCGTTACAGTTCTGAAATAAACAACATAAATTTTGTAGCCTACAATATTTTTTTCATTTGATGAGAGGAAATGAATTGAGTTCTTATATGACAAGGGAGAACCGTTCCGCGAATGAATATCAGTCACTGGTAAGTTACCGTACCGCATATAATTATCGGGGAATCGTTTTTTTCTTTTTATTTTGCCCTGGTACCGTAAGGGAGAAGTGACTTGGATCACTTGGTATTTCAATTCACGTTGAAAAATGATAGAGACGAAAAGATCATTACCACAGGACATGGAAGGACTACAGTCCATGTACCGTTATTTGTACCCCGATTCAGGTGCTGCTAAGTTGAAGCATATGATTTTGGGACGTTTTTACGGAAAAAGGTTTGACTGCGGTACCTGATCCGGTAATACAGAAGTGACTCAGATCATGTGATATTTCAATTGATGTTAGGATAGGATAAAATTTACATATTTATCCCAGGGGAGAGGAAAGCCGATAATACGGCTTATTCATATGGCGAACCAAGGCCTATCGCCCGGTTACAATTCCATGTCGGGTATGGGATTAGTTAGTCACCGGTATTTGTTTTCCGGAAGCATGGACTTGATGGTGGAGAAAGCCGTAACCGACCAGCGGTTACGTGAACCACCCTACGGCGGCGAGGAGTCCAGCAATCCTCTCGCACATAATTATTTATCTCTGCGTGGGATTTGAACCTGCGAGTATTCAGAGGTGCGGTGGCTAGCGTATTCCTAACGCTTAGCACGATGAGCCATACCGCCAATCAAGGAGAATGGTTTTTCGCTTTTCTCTTTGATTACTGGACCCATTGCTTTGAAATTTTCATTGAGTAAAGATTATCTTTTTTGCTAGAGGGCTAATACTTTTATTTTTTGCTATGCAAAATTATGTGCCCATATATTTGAGCATAGCTTTCTTGTTATCAATTCCGGTCTTGTTGTTGCGATCCATCTTAGACAACTCAGTATTGCGTATAGCTCCGATGTATGTAAAGATTGAAGAGACGAAACGATGTAACTTCAGTTTTTTCTCTAATTTTGCTTG